CACTCCTATTCAATACATATAGCCTGTGGTTTGGAGATCCTGAAAATCATTAGAACATGATAGGTAGTTTTCTTTTACATAAATGAATAACTTCCAAACCTATACAGGTAAGGCAGAAGAAAGCAGTTAGCTGAGGAACCAAAAAGGGTTTACGGGTATCCAAGACCTCTTCTATATAGTTTTAGGATTGTCAACGGGTGTGGAGAAAAATGTCCTGGCCTGACTGTACAGAAAAGGGCATCTGAAGCTTCTCGTGGCATGGAGGTAAATAATATCAATCGGTAAGTAATGTTACATTAAACCTTCATTACAGAGACTAGACGTTTTTTCTGCTGGCAGTTGGCAATCTTATACAATTTATATACTACTGTGAATCTGAATTTAGATTTCTTGCTTGCTGTCCTCCATTTTCTACTATTCTGTCTACAGTTTGTCAAAAGCATACAGAGAGCTAGGGAGAACCATTAGAGTTAAAGCTTGGTCACTGTAATCATAGTAGGAAATGCAGTTTTCATGAGGTGGCATATAGAAGGAAGCGGTTACTAAGAACATCACTGGAGAACTGAAACGTAGGGCAGCAGCTCTTTGGAGATACGAAATAGTTTAACATTAAATTTTGTTTGTCATCACTGCTGTTGCTATTCCAAGTGAATTGACAGAACTATTAGTAATGATTGTAGCTCTAGGTTCAAATATGTAGTTGTGGACTTAAAGTCAGCAAGCACCCTTGTTGAGTTAAGAGGGCAGACCCACGGAAAAAATGTTGGCTCTGGTAGAAAAAATGTTGGTTATCTGGTAGAAAAAATTAGCTGCTCATAGGGATCAGCTCTATATGTCATTCTGAATAAAGATATGCTTTACTTAAACCTCTTGTGGCTTCATTATTGAAGACTTTTTATATCAAACATATAAAAACAAGTTTTGAGAAACCAGATAAACAATAAGGCAAATAACTCCAGTGAAAAGAAACTGTTTGGTAGGCACCGGAGCTATTTTGCAGTGTAGAATTCCATCAAAACTGCAGACAATTCATTGTAATGACTAGCATCTCACCTCACATGGCTGACTAAGCTCATATACAAGAGATAAGGACTTTATTACTTCTTTCATTAGCCAGTGCTGACAGGAAGGACAACTGGCATAAAATAGTTGGGAACCACTGGAAAATGTGCTGCCCCCAGCCAGCGTTAATGTATCTAAGAGTAGTTGCACCTGGGAATTGGAGTCCACAGTTAGGGGTCCCAGAAGCTTCCCTCTGACTGGCTCATTAAGAGTAATTTCCTGAGCTCAGAGGCGCAAAGATAGGAGTTTTATTGTTCTTTTCCATTTCTTTGTCCATCAACCTTTACTGCAAGGAGAGGGGAAGCCCATCTCTTTTCTCACCACGGCTATAGAACTGACCTAGATCACAAGATGTAACTTTCCACCCAGCTATCAGCTTGATTGTGAGTAAATGATCTTCTGAATGCATGTGAAGTTAAATTAAGATGATTTAAGCTCTCCTCAGTAGTCGTGCGTTGACTCACGCCTAGAGAGCATTGGCTTAGCACAGCTCACGCTGGACAGGAACAAAAAAACATCTATTAAAGGGCATCATTCTTTTCATTGTACTGATCTTCACTCACTTATTTTGCCTTGCCCCAGTTTGTCTTCATGGCTCACATTTCCATATTGAAGTCCTTATCACAAGAATGTTGAAAAACAAATGTGTAGGCCACGCCATATAAATATTTACTTAACTGGAACAGTAAATGCAGTGAACAGAATTGTTGGATTAAGAATGATTTAAAAACCCTCTGTAAACTCAGTAAATGGCTTTGAGATAATATATAACAGAATTAATTTCACAAAGGAGTCTTTATTTGGAACTGGTTGTCTTTAACTTGCTTCTGTATTATCAGAATGGCAAACACTCTTGCCAATAATTATTAATTGTTATGAAATATTTCACAGAAAATAAATATATATTGCATAATATTGATGAAGATAAAATTACCGTTCCATCAACCTAATGGTTCTGAACAGCTATATGATGAGCCACAACAATTGAAAAGAATTTGGTTATGGCCAGAGTGACTTTTGTTGTTTATCTCTCAGAAGCTACAACACCTAGCAGAGGGTGACACAGAGGACAAACCTTCAAGAGGGATAATCAGCTCATTTCTGTACTCTGAACAGATACAGCAGTCAAGTAAGATATGATCTATAGGCTGTTTCCCCACTGCCACACAGGCATAACCTGTCTGAGTATGGTTGTTTTGTATAACATCCACTGATAACTACTGAAGGTAGTCATCTTTTTTGTCTTTGTTTTTTGAAAGTAGTCATCTTTTTTGCCATCTTCTGGGCATGGAACAGCGGTCACCGTGGGTATGGAGGGGGGAGGTATATGTGAATTTCCTGCATTGTGCAGCGGGTTGGACTAGATGACCCTGGAGATCCCTTCCAGCTCTATGATTCTAGTACATTTAGCCGACTGAGGATAGAAACTTTTCTATATTTTGCAACAGTTAAATTTTCCACATTATCTAGCATTTTGGGGAGGGGGGAGGGGGACTTCCAACCAAAGCAGAGGAACAGGTATGTCTGGACCTCAGAGTGGTACTGAAATAATTGAGCTTCTCGGTGCATTCTTTCACTATATTGAAAGGTCTTTGATTTCCTAATAATAGAGCACATCTGGAGAGACCTTGATTTCCTAATAACAGATCATATCTGGAAAGACTTTGGAGTCCAACAGTGTATCTCAGGTGATATAGGATTATCCTATTTTATCAGATACAGGGAGTAGGGAGTAGCACTTAACGTTTTGAGCTTCCATTTGAGAGCTTTAATCTGAGCTTGCGCTTTGAGGGATTTCAGGTCGAATTCAGCCTGTAGTGCAACCCCTGACACACATTTAGGGAATCCGGAGATCGATCGCAAAAATTTCAGCAGTGGGTTATCCAAATCTTCATTAACTGTTTCGATCCAGATTGGAGCTGCATATAGTAGTTCAGCTGCAATTTTAACTTTAAAAGCAGCGAGCGCAGCAGGAATATATTGAGAGCCATAGATGAAAAGAATCACGTCATAGCACTGGCAGAGTTGTTTGCCAGTCTGACAGCAGCTTCTAGATGTGTCTTCTAGGAAATGTTTCATTGAAAATTAACACCAAAATAACTAAAAGTGTCAATCTGCTCCAATTCCTGATATAATATAGGCCATCTATAGTGTTTCTTAACACCACCTTCTCTAAAAAGCAACACCTTACTTGCGAAAATTGATGGTTAATCCCTCCATGTGGCAATAACAAGCAAACAGCTTGAGAAGTTTACAGAGACCTAGAACTGACCTAGATAGAAGATATATATCATCAACAAAGAGGAGTGTAGATAATTTGAATGTAGCAAGAAAAGGCAGATGGCATTGGACTCAAACTTTGTTCTGTTACTTCAGACCAACATGTCTACCCACCTGAATCTATATTTATGAAGAAATTGAGACATATTGTTTATATAAAGGTTGGAAGGAAGTGGGGCCAAAATACAGCCCTGTTTGATGGCTCCACTGAGGAGAACTGATCTGTTTAACTGTCTCTTTTGTCCACATCTAATCTGAGCTGTTTGAATTAAAAATAATAAACACTTATCCATTGATGCTGTTTAAAGTTTTCTCCACAATTGTGGCCTTGGGATACTGTCAAACACAGCCTTTGGATACTGTCAAATGCAGCCTTTGAATACATGAAGGCACCTGCCAAAGTACCATTGCTTCCTTGGTGTATTTATGAGCAATATATCAAAGAATATGACAGTGATCAATTGTCCTCCTCCCTCTTCTTTTTTTTTATTTTAAACCATAAATTTTATTGAGAGTTTTATACATACAGAAAAAAAAATCCAACAGGGAAGTCCAAAACAACAAAGCAAGGGTATTGCGAGAAAACTACACTTCTCTAACCGTACAAGACAACAATTTTAGTTATATAACAACAATTTGTATTTAGCATTACTGACATTTTCCCAGTCAAATTTGTCTATATTAATCTTGTCCAATAAGGGATACCAAGCATGAAGTGGGCTCATCAATTCACATTCTGTTTGGATTTCTGAATGGAACGTATTAAAATTCTCCAACAGGAATAAGTCCCACACCTTATGAAGCCAGTGCTGAATACTTGGAGGACTCGGGTCTTTCCAGTGCTTGGCGATCACTATCTTTGCCGCCGTGAGTAGAGTACCCACCAATTTTCTACTAGCAAATGAGAACCCATCTGCAGGCCATAAATTCAATAAAATTAAGGCCGGATCCCAAGGAACCTCATAACCAGTTAAATCTTTAACCTTTCTAATGACAAGTACCCAAAATTTCTCAATACTTTTGCACTCCCACCAGCAGTGATAGTAAGTCGCTCTTTCCCCACATTGTTTCCAACATAAGGGTTTCATTTGAGGCATCATGTGTGTTAGTCTAGCTGGGGTAAGGTACCATCGGGTGAGAACTTTCATATTGGCTTCAAAAATATAAAGAGAGTTGGAAAGCTTAGCCTGGGATTTCCAGATTCGATCCCATTGATCTTCCGTAATCTGCCTATCTAGATCTATTGCCCAGGCTTGCTGGTAACTTAAAGGAGATTCCAACAGAGGGGCTTGTAGCATTTTATATATTTTCGCTATTAAACCTTTCTTTTTGTGTCTTGAAAAGAGAAGTTTTTCAAAATCTGTCAAGGGTTTGTTCAGGGAGATTTTAAAGGCCGAACTTTCTATAAAGTGGCGGAGTTGCAGGTACTCACACCATTGAATCTGGAAGTCATATTTCTTTTCAATATCTATTTTGTCCAGAAGTTTATTATTATGAATGACATCTATAATTCTTGTAACTTTCTTTTCTTTCCATTGCCAAAAATGCGAAGAATGTGATGCCGGCAAGAACCAAGGTTGCCCACAGAAGGTACTCAGTTTCGAGGATGGAGAAGTGAGTGTTTTTTTAGTTTGTTCCCAAACGTTGAGAGCGTGTTTTAGAAAGGGTGAGATACCTTTAGCATTAAAAAGTTTACGGTTACTCCTCCAAAGCAAAGCTTGAAATTTTTGACCCTTTGTTGATCCCTCCTCAATCCACATCCAATCAATATCTGAGTCAGAGTTATAATGTCTGACAAGTGATGCTAAAGTGGTTGCCTTATAGTATAGAAAGAGATCCGGTGAAGCTAAGCACCCTGTTTTGATGCTCTAGACATAGTTTTAATATTTACCCTTGGGGTTTTGTTTTTCCTCGTGCCCCGATGTAATGTAATACATCCCTCTTCTAAAACCAACCTGCTCAATACCCAGGACAGATTTTTCCCCCAGCCAGGTTAAGAGTTTATCATAAAGATATATATGATACAATGATATATCAGATAATAATAATAATAATATGTAGGATGCCTGACAATATATAGCACTAGGGTAGTATCATGCATCAGTAGAGAGTCTCTTCAGATTAACAAAGATCCCATTCTTAGATCGTGTGATAACCTGCGGAATGGGAATGGGGGGGTGGTAGGGATCAGGTGAAAGTTCAAACCGCAGAAGTGTCAAGGCAAGAGCCAGTTTCATCTCATTCATGGCAAACTGTTGTCCAATGCAATTCCTACATAGAAAAAGCAAAAAGGAACACACATTCAAAAGTAAGGCATAGAATGTATTTAGGATCGTTTCTTGGCCTTTGGGCTAAAATCAAGTGTGTGTATAATGTATTTAGGCAAAGAAAATGAATCCTGAAATGTACAGTTGAGGGTTTATCATTTCACCAGGTTCCAGAATGGTATGTTCTTTTCTGCAGTTTTATAACCAGTTTTATAGCCATGCTTTTAATGAGAAATAATATCAGAATTCTCTTTGTGGAGGAAACAAAAGAAGCATACAAAATTCAGTCTAAAATGTAAAATTAAATGTTTACCTTGCTCCAGCAGCAAAAGGAAGGAAAGCATATGGATGACGATGAGCTGAATTTTCTGGGGAGAACCTTAGAGGATTAAAGACCTGTAGAAGAAAAGAAAAAAAATGGAGGCCTAAATTAATGAGGCCATCATTTATTTATTTATTTATTTATTATTTTCAATGTATATCCCGCCTCGCCGGCAAACTGGCTCCAGGTGTCGTACAAGCATTTAAATACAATAAAATAGTAAATACAATAAAATACACATAACAACCTACAACATCATAAAGATACCAATTAGAACTGTGCAAATTATGGCGGCATTCAGTATAAGTGGAAAACAGTGTCCACTGATGTATCATACAGTCTGTAGTATGTTCCGGTGGCTCATTCGTCAGTGGCAGCTCCTAATCAAAAGTCTGGTGGAAGAGCTCCGTTTTACAGGCCCTGCAGAACTGTAAAAGGTCCCACAGGGCCCTGATGTCATCCAGGAGCACAGTGGAAAACTGAATTTTGTAACCCTTCAGCAGCAACCATCTATACCTTGTGCCAATATCCACTGATGGACCTCTGATCCATGTGTTTATCCAGTTGAAGATTAATTTTACTTTTTTTTAAGATTCTAATCTGAGCATGAGTAAAAGATTTGAAAGTGGTGCTAGCAAGCGCAAGAGACAGAGACTTGAAAATGCTATGGTAATGAAGTTAAGACCAATCACTGCTTTCATGCATCAACCACTCATTGAAGCAACAAGAGCCAGCAGTGAAGCTATCCAGCCTGAGCCAACTACTAGCATGCAACCAGACAAAAACCTCCCTGAAAGAGAAACAGAGAAGAAGGATGTGGAACAGCAATGAGGAAGCAGCCATGATGCTTGCTCAAACTGAAAATATAGAACTAATACAAGAGCCACTTACTGGACAGGGAGAGGCTAACAAGCCACAAGAAAATAATGTAAATAGTCAGATTTTGCAGTTCACACCTGGTAAGATAGGCCAAGTCCAAAGTGTTCCAGATACAGATAAAGATAATGTCAAACATAGATCTACTGTAACAGATGTTGGTTTGTGGTCAGAATTATCACATGAGGAAGTATCCTATTGGGTAGAGAGGGGACGCTCTCAAGTTCTGCATCATTGTGGACCATTTTCAAATTCCAAGCGACTGTACAAAAAGCAGTCCAGGTTTTGCACAAAAGCTCTTTTTTATTCAACAAAAGCAAATGGGGAAACATATAGCCAAGAGTGGCTTGTATATTCTCCCTCAAAAGGCCGGATTTATTGCTTTGTTTGTAAACTCTTTCCAAACCTTCCATCTTCTTCCACAGCTTTAGCTACTGAAGGGTTTGATGACTGGCAAAACTCCCATCTTATCCAAACTCATGAAAACTCAGAGAAGCATAGGAATGCCATGTTGGCCTACCTAACAAGCAAGCGAGGGCAAGCGTTAACTTCCAAGCTAGAGCAACAAATAAAAGCAGAACAGCAGTACTGGCAGCATGTCATGGAGAGAATTATTGCTGTGCTAGGTTATTTTCACAAGCTCAGCAAAGCCCTTCAGAAATCAGACCTGTTATTGAGTTCTTGTGCAAGTTTGTACAGTTCACTTCTGGATTCCCTGATGGATTAAAGTACCCTGGTCCTGCTCCTACATTTAAGAACATAAGAACATAAGAGACGCCAATGTTGGATCAGGCCAAAGGCCCATCCAGTCCAACACTCTGTGTCACACAGTGGCCAGAAATACCAGTGCCATCAGGAGGTCCAGCAGTGGGGCCAGGACATTAGAAGCCCTCCCACTGTTGACCCCCCCCCAAGCACCAAGAAGACAGAGCATCACTTGCCCCAGAGCCCCTAGCTATACCTTGTGGCTAATAGCCACTGATGGACCTCTGCTCCATATGCTTATCTAATTCCCTTTTGAAGCCGTCCATGCTTGTAGCACCCACCACTTCCTGTGGCAGTGAATTCCATGTGTTAATCACTCTTTGGGTGAAGAAGTACTTCCTTTTATCCGTTCTAACCCGACCGCTCTGCAGTTTCATGGAGTGCCCACGAGTTCTTGTATTGTGAGAAAGGGAGAAAAGTACCTCTTTCTTTACCTGCTCTTTCCCATGCATAATCTTATAAACCTCGATCATGTCACCCCTCAGTCGTCTTTTCTCCAAGCTAAAGAGCCCTAAGCGCTTTAACCTTTCCTCATAGGGAAAGTGTTCCAACCCTTTTATCATTCGAGTTGCCCTTTTCTGCACTTTTTCCAAAGCTATAATATCCTTTTTAAGGTGTGGTGCCCAGAACTGCACACAGTATTCCAAATGAGGTCTCACCATTGATTTATATAGGGGCATTATTATATTGGCTGATCTGTTTTCAATACCCTTCCTAATAATCCCCAGCATAGCATTGGCCTTCTTTATTGCAGTCACACACTGTCTCGACATTTTCAGTGAGTTATCCACTACAACTCCAAGATCTCTCTCTTGCTCAGTCTCTGCCAGTTCAGACCCCATCAATGTGTATTTATATTTAGGATTTTTGGCTCCAATGTGCATCACCTTGCACTTGGCCACATTGAACCCCATTTGCCATGTTGACGCCCACTCGCCCATCCTTGACAGATCCCTTTGGAGTGCCTCACAATCCTCACTGGTTTTCACCACCCTGAACAACTTTGTATCATCCGCAAATTTAGCCACTTCACTGCTTACTCCCATCTCCAAATCATTAATGAACAAGTTAAAAAGCAGTGGACCAAGTACTGATCCCTGCGGTACCCCACTGCTTACCACCCTCCACTGAGAAAATTGCCCACCTACACTCACTCTCTGTTTTCTATGAACTAGCCAGTTTTTGATCCATAAAAGGACTTGTCCTTTTATCCCATGATTTTTGAGCTTGCTTAGGAGCCTTTGATGAGGAACTTTATCAAAAGCTTTCTGGAAGTCAAGGTAAACAATATCTATTGGATCCCCCTTGTCCACATGTTTGTTCACCCCCTCAAAGAACATTAACAGGTTAGTGAGACAAGATCTTCCCTTACAGAACCCATGTTGAGTCTGCCTCAATAGGTTTTGTTCATCTATGTGCCTACTAATTCTTTCCTTAATAATGGTTTCCACCAATTTACCCGGTATCGACGTCAGACTGACTGGCCTGTAATTTCCCGGATCTCCTCTGGAACCCTTTTTAAAGATGGGAGTGACATTTGCTACCTTCCAATCCTCAGGAATGGAGGCAGATTTTAAGGAAAGATTACATATCTTTGTCAGGAGATCTACAAGTTCACATTTGAGTTCTTTCAGAACTCTTGGATGTATGCCATCTGGGCCTGGTGATTTATCAGTTTTTAAGTTGTCTATCAGTTTTAGGACCTCCTCTCTTGTCACCTCAATCTGGCTCAGGTCTTTCAACACCCCTCCCAAAATCAGCGGTTCTGGAGTGGGCAAGCACTTCTCATCTTCCACAGTGAAGACAGAGGCAAAAAATGCATTTAGCTTCTCAGCCATTTCCCTATCATCCTTCAGTACTCCTTTTACCCCTTGGTCATCCAAGGGCCCCACTGCCTCCCTGGCTGGTTTCCTGCTTCTAATGTATTTGAAGAAAGTTTTATTGTTGGTTTTTACGGTTTTTGCCATATGCTCCTCATATTCCCTTTTTGCCTGCCTGACCACAGACTTGTTCCCTTTTTGCCTGCTTGACCACAGATTTGCATTTTATTTGCCATAGCCTGTGTTCCATTTTATCAGCCTCACTGTGACTAGCTTTCCACTGCTTAAAGGAATCCTTTTTACCTTTTACAGCTTCCATTACTTTGTTTGTTAACCATGCAGGCTTTTTCCTATACGTGTTTGTGCCTTTCCTAACCTGCGGAATATATATATTTTTGAGCTTCTAGGATGTTTGTGATGTTGCACAATTGTTTCCCATTCTTGCTAATCTGACAGCATCTAAGGAAGAAATTCAGCAAGGTGTTGAACTGTTGATGGAAGCATACCCAGAAGATATTGCCCTGAAACTTATTGATAAACTTTTGGACTTTCACCTGTACGTGAGACAAAGCCATAGGCTTACAGAAGAGCACTCGCTGTCTCATACAGGCCTTTATCAAATTATATACGAGGAAAAAATCCAGATGGCCTTTCCTAATGTGGAAGCAATCTTGTGGCTATTTCTTAGCTTTATGGTCACTAACTGCTCGAGAGAGAGAGGAGTTTTTCAAGATTCAAAAGAATTAAAAATGAATTAAGGACCACGATGTCTCAAGAGAGGTTGCCTGCACTAAGTGTTCTGTACATTGAAAGTGACAAACTTAGACAAACAAATTTTGATGAAGTTTTGGATGATTTTGCTATGAGGAAGGCTAGAAAAAACATTTTTAGTCTTACTGTATTTGATGGTTGTAGTTTACTTCTTAATATCTATTTTAATACTGACTGTTTCATGACAACATAAAGTAGATTCTAAAAGTACCACACTGTCAGGTAATCATGATCATATTATTTACACTTCCCAGGCAATATAATTTGTAAACTCAAGGTTTTTTGTTTTCTTTTAAGAATAACATTACAACTTCATTTTCCTAAAAATTAATGCTTATTTCACAAAAGGTTTACAAAGTTCAGTTATTGCAAAAGTTTTTCAGTGTTAATTTTAACATTTATGCATTTTTTTTCCAATCACTATGATATTTAACAATCACATCTTATGTCCTTTAGAGGACAAATTGTGAATTGCAGAATTTTAAATACCCGTCATCATCCTTGGCTTCACTCAATTTTGTTTATAACACTCTTCCATTTTCTTCTAGTCGTGAGGGTGGGGGATTGGGAGGGGCCTCACAAGTGGAGTAGCCTAGGGCCTCTCTTCATCTAAATACGGCCCTGCATTTAATTCAGGGTTTTCCCACATTACATGCAGTAAAAAAGTCCCCAGATGGAAGCAGCCAAAAACAGTCTGCATCTTATTCACTGCAATGCAAACACATGTAAAATGATTTTCACTGAGCTTGATTGATCCTTCCTGCCAAAGGCAGATTGGTAAGGGAATAAAGACTCACCTTTTATGCAGGTTACGTTCCCTGAGAATTTCCTCCGAATTAGATAGAAAACATAAACAGAAATAAAATCCGCATTTAATTGCCTGTACTACTGAGATTGTTTCTCCCATCTGTCTGCCTTTTGATTTCTTGGGTGAGAAACATAGTCTTGGCATATTTCACTTTCATTGGATGGAAAACAAAGAAATTAGCTGGAAATGGTTTTTCCATTGGAAAGCAGGGATAAATTAAAAGAAATAATGCAAAAACAAATGAATGTTCAGAAACAATAATGAAATGGGGTAAATAAACACATTTGCACTCCATTATCCTGTGATAACCAAAAACGAGGAAAGAAAATTCTTGAATAAATACACAGTGTTTATGTGACTACTAACCTTCCTGTTGAAGCGTTCTTTATGTCTCTAATATATCACCGTATATCGCTTTTCACATGTTAGCATTAAACACATTCAGTTATTTCAGCCTCACCAGAAAAGTTTTGCCTTTATCCATATCATCATAATCATCATCATCAATTACCTCAGGACTGTCCCAAACCTCAGGATTTCTATGAAGAGCATAAATATACAGTAGAGCCAGAAACCCTGTAAGAAAACAGATAAATAATACATTAGAAGGTTGTTATATTCTCAAAAATTCTATTGCAGCCTCAAGAATGCTGCATTATGACAATTAATTAATGTGTCGTGTCCTTTTTTAAACATAGAGATTCCCAGCAGCTGATTTGCACCCATAGTTACTGGCCACTACTGCACAAACAGCAGGAAGCCAGCTGTAGAACAAACAAACTGCATTGGTCCTACAATTTTTTATTTTGTAAGTCACCATTCCCTCAAGGAATTTTTTAAGGATTACTTTGGGGCATCCAAGCAATGTCCAGTCCATACAAGCACTCAGGGGTGCAGAAGAGGGAGTGTGAGAAGCAAGTCTTCACAACTTTTTTGGAGGGGGAGATTATGCTCAGTTTAGATAATGTAATTCTTACTATCCCTATTAGTACTCTTAAAATGACATGAGATGGTTATACAATATAGTTTGGGCCATAAGAAACTCAAAGATGATTTTGCAATATTCCATAAGTCCTATGGGAAGGGTGGCCAAAAATGTCCCAATATTGTATCACATTAACATGCATAAGAACAAAAGAAGAGCCCTGATGGATCAGACCAATGGCCCACCTAAACCAGCAACCTGTTTCACACAGCTGCCAACTATTTTACCTGGGAGAAAATAAAATGCATAAAGAGGCCAAAGGCTTCCCCTAATGCTACCTCCTAGCACTAGAATTCAATGGCATTCACTGATATTGTTGCCTCTGACTATGGAGGTTCCCTTTAATCAGCATGGCAAGTAGCCGTTGATGGACTTTTCTTCCATGAAGCTCCATAACCTCCTTTTAAAGCCATCTATGCCCACTGCCGTCATTACATACACAGGCAGTGAATGCCACAATTTAATTATTCATGAGTAGGGGTGGGCACAAACCACAAAAATGCAGTTCAGTTCGGGTTTTGTGTTTTTCATGAAGAGCCATGAACTGCATCAAAATTCCCAAAAATTTGTGGTGGGTCTTCAGTTTACAAACATTGCTTCATGACAAACTTTAGTTCGTCAGCCAGTTCATGCCCATCCCTATTCATAAGGAAGTATTTATTTTTGTCTGCCCATCAACTTCATTAGGTCTCCCCAAGTTCTGTTATTTTGGGAGAGGGAGAAGATGTTCTTTCTAACCACTTTATTCTATCCCATGCATAACTTTATAAACTTCTATAAACTTCATCAGTCTTTTTTTCTAAATTGAAAAGTCCTCCAAACCCTTAATGATATTATTATACGCAGTGCTGATTTATGAGTTGCTGGAGGGATATATGTATTGATCAGAACAAATGAAAAATTTAATCGTTATAGCAATAAAGCTATCACATAAGGCGGCTCACTCCGTAAAACTGTGACACTGACCGATAAACTAGTAGAGATCAAACAGGTATGTAATGCCACATACTCATATATGAATACCACATACACATACGCAAATGAGCAGCTACTGTGGGCAGTAGGCAGCATTATTGTGTGATAGAGCTGTGGGGGGGGGGGGGGACCCAGAAGTGACATCACCAATGCTATAGGATAAGAACATAAGAAAAGCCCTGCTGGATCAGACCAATGGTCTAGCTAGTCCAGCATCCTGTCTCATACAGTGGCCAACCAGTTCCTCTGGATGGCCAACAACAGGGAATAGAGGCCAAGGCCTTCCCCTGAGGTTGCCTCTTCTTAGATCTGGGATTCAGAGGCTAAGTGCTTACGAATGTGGAGGTTTCCCAGTCACCATGGCTAGTAACCATTGATAATCCTCCATGAATCTTTCTAATCCCCCTTTAAAGCTGCTTATTCTTGTGGCTATTACTACACCCTCTGGCAGCAAAATCCACATTTTAATCACCTTCTGTGTAAAGTGGTGCTTCCTTTTGTCTGTCCTGAACCTACTGCCCATCAGTTTCATTGGATACCCTTGAATTCTTGTGCTTTGGGAGAGGGAGAAAAAGTTCTCTTTGTCAACTCTCTCTACCCCATACATCTATATATATAAAAGAAAGTCTCCTCACCATAAAACCAATGCCCAGACCAAACCCCTGGACCTAGAAACACAAAATTCAGGGAGAGCACTCCTACCATGACGTAGATGCTCACTAAGAAGCAATTTTTAGAAATTCGACCCCTAAGGGGGTCAAAAGGGGTAAAATGTGCTCACCCCCATTGCTTCCTATGTGGCTGCCAGGCTGCTACCTCCTTGCACCCTCCCACTCTCTGATTGGTCAGCTGCAGAACTCAGAGTTCTGAGATTTAAAAAAAAAAACACTTACAGGACAAGCAGAAAACTACTGACCACTGAGGAAATCAGGAGTGGCCAGCCACCTGTGAGGTGCAGCAAAGCTGCTGGCCCAACCTCCCCATAGCTTCAAACATGCTCCCCCCTCCTACACCCCCACTACAAAGAGATTTCTGAGAAACACGGCCCCATAGGAGGTAAAAAGGGGCAAAATGTGTTCCCCTAATTGTTTTGCATGTGCCTGGCAGGCTGCTGCCCCCCCCCCCGCCCGATTGGTCAACTATGTAGCTCAGAGTTATGAGGTAAAACCTGCCTGCTTGCACCCACCTCCCTCTGATTGCTCATCTCAATGTTCTGAGGTAAAAACACTGTTAAAAGAGACTGCAGACAGTTGAGGACAGTTACAGAAATCAACGATTCAAGACTTCTGAATAGACATTTCTCATAACAGCCAGCATGGCAATTGAGTTTATGAATGTTTATGGGGAGATAGTAAAGGACCTTTCTAGGAGCCTGCTCCAGAGTGAGCTCACCAAGCAGCCTGGTGAACCTAGCACCTGAGGGCAGAACCACCACTGTGGTCTACAGAGAGGTCCTTTGGTAGAGGAGGGAAAAACAGTACGTATGTCTCACTTCATCCTTTATACTACAATCTTCTCCATTAGAATTCCTACAACAAATGTTACCTTTCAAACTTCACATCATCAGCATTATAACTGGATTTATGAAACTTAAATACCGTAGCGAACCACGGGTATCAGGCTAGTAATTTTATAAGCCTCTATCATGTCCCTCCTTAGCCATCTCTTTTCTAAACTGAAAAGTCCCAGAATCTTCAGCCTTTCCTCATAGGGAAGATGCTCCAACCTTCTAATCATCTTGGTTGCTCTCCTCTGTACTTTTTCCAGCTCTGCAATGTCCTTTTTGGGATATGGGGACCAGAACTGTACACAGTATTCCAAATGAGGCTGCACCATAGATCTATACAGGGGCATTACAATATCGGCCATTTTATTCTCAATCCCTTTCCTAATTTTTTTTTATTTTGTTGATCACTATGGTTTTGCCATAAAGATTGCTAAAATCCTACAGTGCCAGTAACAACACTTATGGGGGTTTTACAGGAAGTGATGTTGACACATATGCAGCGTCTTTTTCTCCATGCCCCACCCCCGATGCCTCCCAAGGACTTTCTCGACCTGGATCTGGCAAGCGTACCCCACTCCCGCCCCCTGCTGGTTGCCAGCAGGGACTGGGCAACTCTACTTGTACCCCTAAGATAAATTGAAAGGTGTTTTAAACTCTGGAGTTTCTGCTTCCTTTATAATTGATTTAAATTGTCATATTAAGTGATAAAACATTTGGCTGAACCACACGGATTCAAAGGTATTATTAAGAACTCTCAATGTTTAAGCTGATCACAATTAAGAAATATATGAGGTGAATATCCCCTTTGGTTTCAATACCTGCAAATTAAGAACTTTGTATCTCCTGATATTAGTGGCAGAGTATTAAGAGCAAATGAGACAAATTTTGAATTGTTTTTATCTGCTTTTGATAATCTGGGGGGTATGTTATATAAACTTTATCAGAGTTTCTATCCTTTTGTCATTATGTCTGAAATGTTGTGGCATACATACAGAAGGAAGTTGGGGCAAGTATGTGTCTTTTCTGAACAGTAATTGGATCAAGGGACTAGAGTTACCAACCTCCAGGTGATGTCTGGATATCTTTTACAGCTAATCTCCAAACTACAGAGATCACTTCCCAGAATTATAACTCATCTCCAGATTTCAGAGATCAGTTCCCCTGGAGAATCCACTGTTTTGAGGACAAATTGTATGGCATTATACCCCAATGAGGTCCCTCCTTTTACCAAACCCCACTCAGCTCAGGCTCCACCTCCAAATAGCCAGGAATTTCCTGGCTCAGAATTGGCAACCCTACAAGGGATACATTACTCCCCATCAAGTTGCAAGTCTGGGTTGGTGCATGCAGGACCAACTAAGGGTGTCATACAAGGCAGCAGCTTTCTTGCGGGGGGGGGGCATGGCAATGTTCTGCCTGTCTGCTTCCTCCACAGCCAGCTCCTCTTAGGATCCAGAGAACCAGTCCTCCTTGCTTCCTCATCCCCTGAGTCCTCTTTAAAAGCAGTGCAACAACCCACACATGATCTACCTGATGAGCGTTTAACCTCCATTTGGGGTTACCCTGATAATGAGCTATGCATTCCCCACCTCACATAACCTTCTGCTTCCAACTAGATGGGCACTTTTGACTGTCAGTCACCTATTCAGTCTATTCACAAGGGACACAACAAAAGTGATGGTGAGGTGAATCCTCATTATCTCTAATCCCTCTCCTTTGCTGTATCCCTGATCAATGGATATTCAATGGATATATTGAATTAGTGGCTGACAGTCAAGAGTGCCCATCTACTCAGGAGTAGAATGTCATACATTATTTAGAAAATAGGTATACCTCTCTCCACACCTGCTTAAGGTAGCTCAAAACTAAAAAAATAAAAGAAGCCAAGTGAAGTCAATACAGACAAGCCAGAGCATAAAATCACATAAAACAAACAGAGCAGTCTATAATTATATTGAAAAAATGGTTTTAAGGCTAGGATCAGACCAGTTTGGTGTAGTTTGGTGCACGGACTCTAATCTGGGAGAACCGGGTTTGATTCTCCACTCCTCCACTTGCGCCTGGCTGGATGGCCTTGGGCAAGCCGTAGCTCTGATAAGAGCTGTTCTTGAAAAAGAGCAGTTTCTGTCAGAGCTCTCTCAGCCCTACCTACCTCACAGGGTGTCTGTTGTGGGGAGGGGAAGGGAAAGGAGTTTGTAAGCTGCTCTGGGTAGTGAAGGGCGGGGTATAAATCCAATCTCTTCTTCTTCTTCTAAAATAGCTAAAAAGATGGAACTTCTTAGTTAAAAGTCTGGGTAAAGATAAAAGTATTGAACTGGAATCCAAAAGAAAGTAAAGCAGGTACCAGGCGAGCCTCAAGAGAAAGGATGTTCCAAAGGCAAGGTGCCATTAATGAAAAAGCACAGCATGTCTCTGGTTGCCACCTGCCTTACCTCTGCAGGTGGGGGTACAGAGAGCAGGGCTTAGATGAGGATCTTAACAGACTTCCATATATACACGCAGAGTAAAAACATGTTGTCCTTTTGTGTAAGTATAAGAGGAAATCCAATTAAATATTTAAAAGGAAGTCTGAAAAAGTTACTAAATAAATGAAGGTTCAAATGGAAATCTGCAGAAAGAAGAGGACACAACCTTTTGGTAAGGTTCGTCCATCAGTAAATGTCACTGGTGTCTCTAATTCTCGAGCTATCATAGGTACAGGAGGGTAAATGCGAAGACTTTCTTTAATACACATAGTGGTATAAGTCAGCTTTCCCAGGTGATCCCTGCAAGAAATCAGAAAGTACACTGGATTATTTTTAAGTCTCATAACATTTTCTACAACTAAAGTGAAAAAGAACACCAGCATCTAAATTGATATTGCTCAACATCCAAATATGACATGAATTGAAATGGGAAACTTCAGTCCACAATTTGTTGCCTGGGGCCTAAAGCAGGGATTGGGGGGGGGGGGGAGTTATTTTCCGTTAAGTCAATTCTTCACAAATAATGAGCCAACAAGTTGGAAACAGTCTGCTAGTTCTGAATTGTGTGGCCAGATAGGTTCCTGACAACTCCCTAATTTTGTAGTGTAAGGAAGGCAACAAACAGGTTTATTCATTTTAGGCAAGGTTAGTAGACTCTATCCTGCTTGGTATATCATGAGTTCAGCAGCAGTCTACTATATGTTTTTTAAACTGAGGGAACAATACAGTAAGAAACCTTACACTGATATTTGCTCATCTATATGAATTCACTTCAAAATTTAACAGTGTGTCTCTATCGTACTTTATTAAATTCTGTAGAAGCTGTTTCCTATGCTGAATTTGTCAGTTTATGTTTGTTTATACAGTATATCCCCAAAATCCACTACGGCCATAATGGAACATACTTGACAAAGTGGTTCTTTGTATTTCTGTGCAAAAACTTAACAAAGGGTCTTCTTAGCTGTGAGACCCTCTTTGTAGAGCAAAGTGTGCTAACATCCAAGCTGACATACTGAAGCAGTTAACTGACTTCCATACATTTCGAACAGCTTAAGAACTGCACCCCAAGACTCCCTACATTACCCTGCATATAAGGGCTTTTCTGTACATGTTATTTTTGTTGATTGTGTGCTTGTAAAAAAGACACATTACAGGCACACAACAGATGAAATAACACGTGCAGAAAAACTCTTTTAAAGGTGCTCATGAAAAAAACTGGAGAAACAGCTAGGAAAGGCTGAAGCAACCACTAGAGGGAGAAAACCACATGCAGAAAAGAAAAGAAAACAAACATGTTATGGGCACAGAACTGATGAAATAACATGTGCAGAATAACCATAGGGGAGGTAGAATACTCTTCTTTTACTTTTAGAAATCTCAGAACAGTTCAAAACTTTGACCCAGACTCTATGCAAATAAGAGAAAAGAACAGAAATGAAGTCTGACCATTGAATTGTTTCCTGTTCCCCAAGAAGCTCTTGTATCTCCTCTCTGCATCTCTGCTGATGTTCAGGATTCAGGGCCATACAATACAGAAGCCAAGAGACTCCACTAGCTGTAGTATCATGACCTTCAAACATGAATGTGTCCACTTCCGCTCGCAGGTCTTCATTGGATAACAGATTTCCATTTTCATCCTAGTGGGAAGACAGGGAATTATGATTTTTTTTAAAAGACCAAAAGTATATCTAAGCAAAAGATCAGCAAACCCCCAAAACAGTCCAGAGAAATAAAGTGATTTTTGCATGGTGCCTAAAAGATAAGTGCCTGTGCCAGCAAGGCCATTCTAGGAAGATGATTACACACAGACAGGGCACTATCTAGAGTTGCCAGATCTTCCACCAGCAATCCGTGCTTCCTAGTGCCACTCTTTTGGGTGGTAGGACAAAAAAAATTAGAAACATGATGTCACTTGCTGGTTTTCTTTGGAAGTGATGTCACATCACTCTAGGACTTGCCAGAAACACTGTCTCACCATAGAGTTTCCAGTGATGCTTACAGTGATGTGATGTCACTTCTGGTTCTCCTCGGAAGTGAAGTCATGTCACACATGCTGACAGCACTCCCCATGTCCTTGCTCCACCAGCTCCTGCCAGGTGTCGGCCATTGACTGGCAACTCTAGCACTACCCCTGAAAAGGCCCTATCTCCGGTCACCATGATTATAACCTCTAAGGAAGGAGGCATCCAGAGCAGGCCCTCAGATGTAAGCTAATAGTCACATCCTATAGGTGAACACAGTTCTTCAGATTGATTTAAGCATTTATGTGCTGTTTTTCTCCCCAAATCCCAAAGTTGCTTACAATATAAAAATATAAGGTAAAAAAACACGAAAAGGCAAATAAGAGAGGCTTTGTAGTGCAGGGCTGGTTCTCTCTCTCTCTCTCTCTCTCTCTCTCTCTCTGTGCCAGCACATCTTCCTCTCAAATCCAGGCTAGGACCCTCAGGCCAGGAGCCAAAGGCCAGAAGTCCTTTGGCTTGTGTCTCTGGGGCCAGTTCAGGCTTAAAAGGGTTACCCGCAAGAAAGAGACAGGGCATGATCTCATAGCAGCTGCCAGATGTTCCAGATTTCTTCCCCTCCTTCTGAAATTATTCCTTTAAATTGAGCCTGGAAACCAATGTGGAGTGGATCTTTAGTATAAATGAAATATCAGCATTGTAGATGGTTACATTATCACGTTAATAACCACACTGCCATATTCTGTAGTAGGTATGAACTTTGCAAAGGCAGGTAAACAGATAATGCATTACCACAGCCTCAGCTAACATCCACTCTCTTCTGGGAATGGAAAAAAAATACAAGTCCCAGACCCAGTTGCCCTCCCTTATCTGAATTGCTGAAGAAGATCATATAATGCATACGTCAAATGTAGCTTCTGCTAGCTGACAGATCAACTGCCAAGTATAATTCACACCTTTTGCTTCACTCGATAATTCTATCCAGACATTTTGAAGTGTGTGTGTGTGTGTGCAGAGGTCATTTCGGGGGGGGGGGAACGCGGGGGAACACAGTTCCCCCGGGTGAGGTGCAGGGGGGTGGGGGCACATGACGAAGCCCCACCCCCTGCTTCCAGCCGCCCCGCTTCCAGCCCTCATTCAGCCAGGAGGAGGCAGGAGAAGAGGGAGGGTAAGTTGCTTCCTCCCTGCCTCTCCCCACCCCTGCCTGCCTGGGGCCAGGGAGGGCCTTGGCGGGGCTTCCTTGCACTCCCGCCGGCCTTGCAGGTCCACCGCCGGGCCCCTGATGTCAGGGGGTGTGGCATATGCTAATGAGTTATGCTAATGAGGTCCCCTAGCTCTTTTTCTACGAAATGACCCCTGTGTGTGTGTGTGTGATGATATTATTACAACTGATCTCCAAGTGACAGAGATCAGTTTGCCTGGAGAAAATGACTGCTTTGGAAGGTGGATTCTATGGCATAACCCCACTGAGGTCCCTCCCCTTCCCAAACCCTGCCCTCCTCAGGCTCCACCCCCAAAATCTCCAGGTAATTCCCAACCCAGAGCTGGCAACCCTATTGTGGAATCATATTGTGTAATTTAACAGCATGTGCCTGGTTCCCTTTGTAGATATAATGTCCAATGCATGATGCAAGTATGCTGTGATAAGGCAGGCCCAGCTGGCACAAGCCGTAGAACACTGGCCAGGGACTTACTTAGTGTTTACTAGATTTCTATATTATTTATTCTCGTAACAGCTCTATTCATGATTGATTATTCCTACATGCAGGTATGGGAATTAAGAAAGGCATCCCAATGGATAAATCATACTGTGTTTATCATTTGACCTCTTCATTTTTCAAACCATATTACTCAGTACATTTACATAAACACCACACAGATCGGGGGTGGGGTGGATTTTCCTTCCTTCAAATCTGTCAAAACTGGCAGTGTGCAGGCTATATAAATCTGTATGGTAGCTCTCTTCATCTCAACAGGCTCTCCTGGGCTGTCTCATCCTTCAAATCTGCCAGTACACATTCTTGGGCTTTTATAGTAAGGACACCAGTCTTATTTAAGAAAATTATGTAAGACCAAGTTGTTCAAAAGGCTATTTGAACATGGTTCTTTTCATTTTGTGTAGATTAATTGGTGATTTTTCTGTATTGTTTTTTATAGTTAGTTGATACATTGTTCTTTTATTATTAGTTATTATTTTGCTGTCAAGTTGTAATGTATATATGGTGACCCCGTAGGGTATTTATGTCAAAAGACATTCAGAAGTGGTTTGTTCCTATCCAAGTGCTAACCAGGACTAACTGGCTTAGCTTCCAAGATCTGACAAGATTGGGCTAGCCTGTGCCATTCAGGTTAGGTCTATATTATATTACTTACAGTGACTGTTACTACTTAATATTTACTCTGTTATAAACTGCTTTGAATCTTGTTAGTGTCCTGCAGGGGGCATGGGAGGGGTTAAATAGCTAGCATAGTCAAGTTAAGGACTTCCTGGTATTTTTATTCTTATTTCTGTATTGCTTATAGACAAAGTTTTCTCAGTAGTTTTTTTATTATTTTATCTTTCATTTCTCACCTACAAAATTTTATGTGTACCATGGAAAATAAGAGAAAAGAGACAAGAATATATAGTATTGGCAGATTTGTTAAAGGATAATGGGATTCAATATCAATGGCTACTTCCGGAAGGGCTATTTTTTCTTTATAGAGGCAAAAGGAATAAAATTAATTATATCTTTAAACTTGAAGACTTTTTAGACCGAAATGGAGAAGATCTGGGTTGGAAAGGTGAAGAGACTAGTGATGTCGATGAAGATCAGCAGGATAAGTCAATAAAAACAGGGAAAACATACAATAAGAAGAAAAATAGACAGAGAAAAAAATATGGTGCATTTAAAATGACGATGTGACAGAAAGAAAAAGAGAGGAAGGAGGTGATGGAAGAAGAAAATGATGGATAAATGGACTTTGAAAATCCCTCAATGTAAATGGCTTGAATGCACCCAAAAAAAGGAATCGTATTTTCCACCAAATTAAAAAAATTAAAGCGGATGTAGTGTGTCTCCAAGAGACACACATCATACAGAAGGACTACAAATATTTAGAAAGGAAGAAATTAGGGAAAAGCTTTTTTGCAACAGATGGGAAACAAAAGAAGAAGGGTGTAGCAATATACGCTAAAGAATTTTTAAATCCAGAACTTGTATACTCAGCAGAAGATGGGCGAGTGTTGATTATACGTATAAGAAGGAATGCCAAAACTATGCTAATTATCAACATTTATGCCCCTAACAAAAAGCAGTATGAATTTTATGAGAAAATAAGGGAAAAGATAGCAGAGCAATTGTTTGAAGAGCTATGTTTGATCGGGGATTTTAATGCGGTATTTGATGATAAAATGGATAGGAAGAATGAAGTGAAAAAGACTGTACAAAAGAATGAACTCCCGTGGCCATTTTATATATTGGTAGATCATGAATTTTCGCTGGTGGATGCTTGGAGAGTTAAAAACGATAATAAAAAAGAATTTACATTTTACTCGGCCAGGCATCAATTCTGGTCGAGGCTAGATATGTCACGATTGTCTACATCAGTAGTAAATGATATTAGTGAGACAGAAATTTTACCGCCTTCCTTTGCAGATGATAATCCGATAATGTTGACACTTTTAGATATGCCCAAGATAAGCAGATGGACATTGAACACAAGTATTTTTCAAGATGAAAAATTTCTTTTGGAGTCCAGAAAGGAATTTGAGGCCTTTTTTAAAGATAACTGGCAGCCTGAAATCTCAATAGATATAATATGGGATACTTTTAAGGCCTATGCTAGAGGATGGGTGATACGACAAAATGCATGTGGGGAAAAACAAAAAGAAATGGCTTACAAGCGGATTGTTAATCAAATAAAACTCAAATTAAAATACAGAAAAAAGGAATGGAACTACAATGAACTAAGAAGAAAGTACAGAAATTACAACACCAACTTAACTGTTTTATAACAGAAAAAATTGCAAAGAAGGTTCAATATGCTAAACAATATTTTTTTCAAAATGTAAATAAACCAACGAGGTGGCTGGCCTATATGTTGAGGAAAGAAAAAGAAAAAAAAATCATTAAAAGTTTGAAAAATGAAGAAGCAGAGGAAAAATTTTAGTTGAAAGAAATAAAGTCGATAGTAGAAAACTTTTAGAAAAACCTGTACTATCAGAAAGACTCTAACCTGGAAGAAATCCAAAATTTCTTAGCAAAGCAAATAAATAAGGAATTTGCAGAAAATCATAGGAAGATCTTGGACGAACCTATAACAATGTGTGAATTGGTGGAAGCAATAAGAAGGCAAAAAGAAAGGAAAACACCGGGACCAGGCAGTATTCCTGCTCCTGCTGAATTTTATAAAGAATATGAGGATCAAGTTATTATACCACTAAAACAAACAATTATTAACGTACTAGAAACTGGAGAAATACCCAATTTGTGGAAAGAGGCATTAGTAACACTGATACACAAAGAGCATAATGAGGTTAAAAATTATAGGCCAATTTTGCTGTTAAACTCCGATTATAACATCTTCACCTCAATATTAGCAGCAAAGAAGGTTTTATCTCAGGTAATATCTAAAATCCAAGCAGGTTTTTTTACCAATTAGACAAATCAAAGACAATGTTAGAATGATATTAAATGTATTAGAGTACTATGAGAAGCATAGTGAAAAAAGGTAGCCATGATTTTTGTTGACGCAGAAAAAGCGTTCGACAATATAAGTTGGAAATTTATATTAGAAAAGTTGAAAGTATCAAAATGCGGTGAAAACTTTTTGACAATGATTAAAGCTATTTATATTAACCAGAAGGCCAAAATTATAATAAATGGTGACATAACCAACAGTTTTGAAATTAATAAAGGGGTAAGACAAGGTTGTCCTTTGTCCCCCCTGCTGTTCATTTATGCAATGGAAACTTTACTAGATATGTTCAGAAAGAAGAAAGAAATCCTAGGACTAAAGATAGGTGAGAAAGAAGTGAAAGTTCAAGCCTTTGCAGACAACATGGTCTATACAGTGGAAGATCCAAAATTATCTATGGAACAATTCCTGAAAACAATACAGGAATATAGCATGATAGTAGGCCTGAAAATTAATAGAAATAAGACCAAAATCTTGACAAAAAACTGTGATGCAGAAACAGGAGTATATTCAAAAGAAATCTCGGTTTACGATTAGTAAAAAAGTGAAGTATTTAGAGATATTTATAACCAAAAGGTGCAGTTCTCTTTTTCAGGATAATTATGTTAAGGTCCTATCCGAAATTAAGGGTGACTTAGAGCGATGGAAAGACTTACAAATTTCATTACTAGGTAGAGTGGCTACCGTAAAAATGAATGTGTTGCACTGTATAATGTTCTTATTTCAAACTATACCAATTATTAAAAATAAGATTGGGTGGCATTCATATCTATGGTACCAGAAAGTGACAAAGACCAATCGTTTCAGACAACATTGGATTAGAGGAGCTATATATGAAATTTGGGAAGAAGCCAAAAATAAGTACTACCAGAGGATACCTCAATGGATTTCACCTATTGAGGCCTTTTTTAGGCCTACATTATTTATTAAATACCCTAAATGGAGAAATTTAGATTTATTAGATGGGAAAGGCAATTTAATACCAGAAGAAGAATTGAGAAAAAGCAATACTAAGTTAACGTGGTGGGAAAAGGTGACACTGAATTCAAGATGGACAAAAGATTAAAAAATAAGCTTTTACAATAAAGCAACAGGTTTAGACCAGATATGGATCAATAGCAACGATAAGATCATAGGGAAAATATATAATTATATGTTAGAAGATAAAATGCAAGACGAATGGGTCAAACCGCAGATGATAAAATGGACACAGAAAATAGGAAATAATATAGAGTTATAAAAATGGTCTAAGATGTGGTCCAGAAATATAAAATATATTGACAGCTAACTTTAAAGAAAATCTGATTAAGATGTTTTATATGTGGCATATATCACCGGAGAGATTAAATAAATATAATAAGACCATATCTAGAAATTGCTGGAAGTGCAAATTTAATATTGGTACATTTTATCATATTTGGTGGGTCTGTAAAAAGGCTGAAAAATACTGGAAGATAATAAAATGGGTTATAAAAGGGATTTTAGAAGTGGAAATACAATTAATGCCAGAATTTTTTAAAAGTATATTACCTGAAGAACTTAAAGAAACAGAAGTTTATTTAATTATGCATATTTTGGCGGCAGCAAGGATTCTATTTGCGAGATATTGGAAAAATGAAAGCATTCAAATAAAAGATGAATTAATAAGTAAAATATTAGAAGTTGCTGAATTAGAGAAATTAACATTTACTATTCTGGGTAAAAGTGAAAAGGAGTTTGATTTTAAAAAGTGGCATAAAATGTATGTTTGGTTACAAAAGATGGAAGAGAGTAAATAATGAAGTAATTATTGAAATGATATAAAAAACTGGAAGTTTTTGTTATATGAGCTGTATGCATTTATATGTTTGATTTTGTATAGTTTAAAATGATAAATAAGCATGGGGAAAAGAAAAAAAAAGGACTTCCTGGTATTTTTCAAATAATCCCCTCCTGTCACCTGATTGCTCATTGGAGACTTCCTCTCTTTTTGAATCCATGTCCTCCCTGGTTGTTGTTGTTGGAGGAGGAAGAAATTGGATTTATATCCCATCCTTCATTACCCAAGGAATCTCAGAGTGGTTTACAATCTCCTTCCCCTCCCCACAACAGACACCCTGTGAGGTAGGTGGGGCTGAGAGAGCTCTTTTGAGAACTGCCCTTGAGAGAACAGCTCCGAAATAACTTGTGACTGACCCAAGGTCACACCAGCAGCAGCATGTGGAGGAATGCAGAATCAAACCCAGTTCTCCCAGATTAGAGTCTGCACTCCTAACCACTAAACCAAACCGTCTCTCAGTTACACAGTTAGATGGTTAGACATTTAGAACCTTCTCTCTCCTCTCCTCTTTACATAGTTGTTGCTCTTCTAAATAAAATTGTTTATTCTTTTGGCAGCTTGAGCTCTGCTACTTTTGCATATTTATTTATTAATATTTAAAATTCTGCCAACATAAGCAGGATAGAACTATTTTAATAAGTAAAAATAAATACAATAAACTTGCTGAGGAAATCAGTTTTTCCCAGGACAACTGTTAAAGTTTCTATTATGGGAAACAGCAGTTCTCATTGAGGGGGCAGGAGTTGCACTATTGTAGGTTGCCGGGGTGCCAGGCTATAGCCAGTGATACTATTTAAAAAACAAGGGGCAGGTGCTAGAAAATCACCTTTTATCAACAACAGCCAATTTGATTTCTTGTAGAAAAGTATTCAATAGGAAAAGAATAACACGTGGTTAGGCCCTTAGACATTGTTCAGTTTAATATGCAATATCAAACACAGAGCATCACTTTTCTGGGACTGGATGAATCACTATAACTTTCACCTTTGCACAAAGAAGAATGTCCAGAAAGTCCAGACGCCTCTTCTTCAGGATTTTTTCAAGTTCTCGCTCATTCTTGAGAGATTCTTTCCTCTCTCTTATTACTTTATCTGCATTAAATATAAATAATGAGTGAAGATATGTATAAGAGGTAAGCAAAGAAATCTATTGATACCGCCCAGCACAGCCCAGAACATATTAAAAGAGACTATGTGGCTCTGGGTAAAAAGGTGAAGGAATTGGGAGTGCAGGTTGTATTCTCGTCAGTTCTTTCTGTTGAAGGCGGTGGCTTAGGAAGAGAAAGAAGAATACTGCAGATCAATGATTGGCTATGTAGATGGTGTCATCAGGAAAAGTTTGGATTTTTGGACCATGGCTTACATTTTTGAGATGAAGCTCTTCTATCAGGGGATGGTTTGCACCTCACGAGGGTAGGAAAAAATGTGTTTGGAAACAGCCTTGCAAACCTAATAAGGAGAGCTTTAAACTAAATTCTGTGGGGGAGCAAGACAAAAATGCAAAGCCAATAACTGGAAATAAGAACTCTAAAGTTTTGCAGGGAGTGGCACGTATGCTAGATAACATTAACTCACATGTAACTACAGAAACAAAAACCTCAGGGTGCATAAAAATGGATTCCAATGTCTCTACACTAATGCATAGAGTATGGGAAACATACAGGAGGAACTTGAAGTCCTAATATAGGAAGGGGACTGAAAAGTACTGGGTTCCCCCAGCCCCAACCAATACCCACTTTGGCGGGACATTCAAACCCTCCAATGGGAATAGGGGGTGCTGGGTGGATATGTATATAGTTGGCCCTGTCAGGCCATTAGAGATAGTCTTGTCTTAAGTACAATAAACGTGTGCAACCGCATGTCATCGTCCGAGTCCTCCATGCAGCGAACCCAGTACTTTTCAATGGCGACAAGGATGGGATCCCGCCGAGCCAGGCTTGGCTCGCATCCCAGCGTAGCACTGAGCATCGTTCCAGCAAACGCACCCCACATCGCTCTCAAGCAGCACCGCACCGCACACCACATCAAGGAACACCACTCCCCGCTAATGCTACGCCATGGCCTCTGCTTGGGGGAACTTAGAGATCTTCGATCCAGCCCATCCCGAACTCTGGGACTCGTGGACCGACCAACTGACTTGCCACTTCGTCTACAATGAAGTGACCGACCCGGGAAAAAGACGAGCCCTCCTCCTCAGCTCCTGTGGAGTGAACACGGTCCGCCTCGCAAAGAGCCTCCTCGCACCCCGATCAATCCTCGAGTGCTCGTACAAGGAGATCGTCGACGCCCTGACAAGCTACCTCACGCCCCGGCCAACTACGCTCGCAAGGCGGGTTGAGTTCCAGGGCCGTGTCCAGAAACCGGGCGAGTCGGCCGCGGCTTTCATGGCGGCCCTGCACCAGCTGGCCATGGACTGTGCCTTCACCAAGGAGAACCTCTTGACGCAATTTGTGTGGGGCATCAGCGACATAAAGCTGCGAAGAACCATCTTCAAATACTTGAAGGGCTGTCATATAGAGGATGGTATGGAGTTGTTTTCTGTTGCCTCAGAAGGTCAGACCAGAACCAACTGGTTGAAATTAAATCAGAAGAGTTTTCGGCTAAACATTAGGAAGAACTTCTTGACAGAGCAGTTCCTCAGTGGAACAGATTTCCTCGGGATGTGGTGGGCTCTCTTTCTTTGGAGGTTTTCAAACAGAGGCTAGATGGACATCTGACAGCAATGCTGATTCTGTGAACTTAGGCAGATCATGAGAGGGAGGGCAGGAAGGGTTGCCTCAGTGCTGAGTTCTTGTGGCCTTTTCTTACATGCCCAGGGAAATGCTGATTGCCACTTTGGGGTCAGGAAGCAATTTTTCTCCAGGCCAGCGATCCTGGAGGTTTTTTATCATCTTCTGGATGTGGAACAGTGGTCACTGTGGGTGTGAAAGGGGTGTACAGCTGTATGTCTAAATGTAATTTATTTCATATGAATTTTGGCTAGATACGTACATAATATAGCCCACAAAGAAGCTGATAATCATGAATGCAGGACTTTCATGACAAATTGTCCATGGATAAAGTTTACATTTATTCTTCTTTTCTGTCTCTACAATAGTTGTTTATAAACAAAAGTAAGAAGACAGTCCTTCCTAAAAACTTGAATATAAATTCCTCTTTGCCTTCTGTCCTCAGATTCTCATTAACAACATATTGAAATTCAAATGTGTTGTGGAAACTCTAAAAATACTTCTCAGAAGCCACAGAAAATCCCTGACCAGGGATGATCAGAAGAAAGGACCATGACTATGAGATATACCTGTGTGAAGATGAGCTAGTTTGCAACCTTTGTGAAACTGACGTCCTTCTGAAGTGAACCAGTAAACAAGGTCATTATGATAAAGAGGTGTCTTCATTCTTTGATACATCATGAAGCAGAGGTCATACACAGTTTTAATGTAGAAATTGTCACTGTGGGCAGAGAAGAGGAGACAAGTTAGATTCAGAAAGCAGGTGTACAGACATTAGAATAATAAAATCATAGAGTTGTAAGAAACCTCCAGGGTCATCTAGTCCGACCCCCTGCACAATGCAGGAAATTCACAAGTACCTCCCCCTCCACTCCCACAGTGACCACTGTTCCACACCCAGAAGATGACAAAAAACCTCCAGGATCCCTGCCCAAACTGGCCTGGAGAAAAATTGCTTCCTGACCCCAAAGTGGCAATTAGCCACTTCCTGACCACAAAGTGACAATCAGTGTTTCTCTGAGCATGTAAGAAAGGGCCATATTCACTGGGAAGTCTTACTGAACTTTTGTCTTTCTTCTAACTTAGTTCATATGCTTAGGATCAGACTGAAGGTTTTATGAAGTGAGAACAAAGTTCAGTAGGAAATAAGCAAACACTTTTATCATAGAAACAAAGAAATGAGATACATTTTCAGCCCTGTAGGGGCTACATAGAAAACACAATACCTTAAACAATGAAATAGAGCTTTACTACTACAATACAGTTAATTTCAAATTATGCGAATAGAGACCTTCTAAAAATCTCCAACAGAAGTGACATGGAGTTTGAAATAAAGTGTACGATATTTTAGAAGTACAAGTAGATTTTTGTTCTGTATGTATTTACAAAGGTGGAGTCATATTTCCTGAGGAATGCTAGTATATGATCTGTCTATATGGAAACATGTGCACGGGAGTTCCTGGATTGGTGAGGTTGTGTCATGGGCTAAGGCACTGGCAGATGGAGAAGCTGAAAACCAGAAAGAGGCCAAAGTCCTGGGACCCCAGAAAGAAGCATCAATAATGATGTCCAGGCATCCCAAGAGACCAAGCCATCTCTCCTGCATTTCAACTCAGATTGCTGCAGCCCTTGAAGTGTCTCCCCAATTTACCACTCAAGCTTACCACAAGCTCCCACCCCCATGGGAGTACTCAGCACCATGACCAGACCTGGCACCTTAAAGAGCCAGAAGCCTTTTCCTGGAGAGGCAGGGCTTGTGTCCCCACCTTTTTGAAGGAGTATTTAAGGTCTCATTCCTCCTGAACCTTTACTGCAATGACACCCGAGCATTATGTATTGTTGAGGTGACTCTATTCCCTTACCTTAACCCGGAGAGTTTAGCCTTAAGGAGGACAGTGGGGCCTGGTGATCCCCCTGAATTAACTGAACTCCAGACTACAGAGACCAGTCCCTCAAACCATGCCCTCTCCAGGCTGTACCTCCAAATCTCCAAGAGTTTCCCAACCCAGTGTTGGCAACCCTACAGGACAGTTTGCTTCACATGAACCCTTGTCTGTCTGTAGATTTTGCCTTATCTGAAGGAGCCATGTTATACTGACCTGTTTGTCTGACAATTGCTTTCGTAACTGAAGGCGCATTTCATGATGCTGTCAAGAGTCATCAAGCTGACATGTTCAAACAATTCCACTGATGTTTTGGTGTCTTTCAGGACCAATTTTTCCCATTTGTCCTATAAGTATCATAAAGATACAGAAATGTAAATAGGGAGTTTTCCATAGAGACCTTTTTATTTATATTCTGATCCCAGCCGATGTCTGTTAGTGTAGGTGTTTACAGGTTTTGTTGAGAATTCTTCATATCATGCAGAATGAAAAAACTGGAATATTCCAGGGAATATGACCTAAATTAAAGAAAATTAGAAACCCCAGACAATGTTTTTTTCTTCAGTGATCAATTCCTTGAATTTTTAGATTGTCGAATATGCCAGTAAGTGATCAGAAAGGCTCCAGCACTTCTGTCATTCCGTAAACTATGTAAATGGTTCAGGAGGGCATTTTTATAAAGGTAATAGAGCTAACAGAATTCATCAGGAAGGTGCTTTTATCAAGGGAATGGGACTTTAGTCTATCCCACCCTGCATTATAGATTATCTGTTTGTTGTATGTATTGTCCTGGTCTTATTGCATTGTTTTCTACTTTTATAATCCCGTTCTTTGTAATGCTTGACACATTTTCAGTGTTGCTTAACCAACATACCTGAAGGACCACCTATTCCTTCACTAACCTACCTGACTGCCATGATCATCTTCCAAGGTCCTGGAACTGGCTCTACCTCCCTCATCCCTTGCCAGTGACCAGGGGGGACCTGGCGGCAATCATAGCAGGAGGGTCTTCTTGGTAGTGGCACCAAAAATCTGGAACTTTTTCCCCAGAGAGACATGGCTATCCCCTTCTGTTGCTGTCTTCAGCCAGCAGATGAAGACTATGGCTAGAGCTACACAACTGGACCATAGCTTTCCCAGGCAGATATTGCCAGGGTGAAGGAAGGAGGGAAAGCTGAAGACAGGGAGGTAGATAAAAGATGTTTCACTAGCGGGTTGGAAGGAGAGAAGGAAGCAGAAAAAGGGGAGATGCTATGAAGGCTTTCAGTGAAGAGAAAAAGGAAATAACAGTAGAGGGGAAAATGAGATGACCCCAAGTCCTTGTAGGTACCCCACTTGTATGAACTAAACAAGTGGTTTCCAGCTTCATGGTTACTTTACAGTACTGACATGGGGACCATTTGTAAGAAAATCACTGCACAGGAGAAAACCCATTTCTTTTGTAACATACTTGGCTGTTTCCTGTTTCCTCCCAGTCACCTCTGAGCAGGTACAGTGTGGCTGTGGGAAAAGTCATGGGTGGAAGGACAATGGTGAAGGATTCACAGGTGTGGGGAAAATTAAACTCTGCTCATCATTTATTGAATCTTCTCTTGAAGTGTCCAAGTCTTTGTATCACCCTTAGTCAGCAAATGTAGTTGAGAAAAACTGCATAACTCATTTGAGTCTATGATTTAAGAGTAGCTGGATTGATGTGCATGCTAAAGCAGATCTTCTTAGCTTTTCAGGAGCCAGCAATCAACTGATTACAACATAAATATTGGACTTATGTATTTCTTTTATTAATTATAATAATTACAAAAATGAGTTCTGCAATTATCATAATGAATATGAAAATAAAACAAATCCCCCATCTAAACAGCCTATAACCGAAGGACCCTATGTTTTCTTTCATTTCATTCTGGTTTCTTTCATTATTGCAATCTCCACCTCTCTTGGTTTCACATTCAGCATTTTACTAATAAAAGTATTGAGGAGAGCACAGAGTTCCTTGAGGGAAGGAGGTAGTGAGGCTCTGGGCTTTCTTGATTGACTGCAAGCTGTAGCTACTAGGATTATATAAGTGTGAAGTATTCCAGTACTGAAGGACATCGTGTGAGACTTTGCCTTCATCTCTCCTCCCACTGCCTGCCCTGCTGTGTCATTTTTCCCTTTGCAACCTGTCATCCTCTGCTTGCCTGCTGCTCTCCAAAACTTAACCCCTATCCAAACAAATCTACCTCATGGGCTTTCTACTGCTGCCTGCCTGGCCCAGTGCCTTACCCTCCTTGTGCCACCCAGTCTGCCTCTTCTTCATGCTACTATTTGTCAAGCGAAGTGGCTACAGTGCTGTCTTTGTTACAGTTAGGGTCCGTTCAGACGGCTCTTTAGATCTGCGCCAGACATGAGTGCCTGGCAGATTTAAAGGTAATGCCCAGACACAAACATCTGGGAAACGTCCCTGTTCCATGGGCATCCCATTTTGCCGCGCTTCGGAGCCGTACTTAAAAGATACCACTTTAAATCTGGAGTTTTTGGGTCCCGATGGGACAACTGCGGACTTTCACCTATCTGATCGTTCCACCAGCGCGCAATTTGGTCCTGCTTGGACTGTCCTGTTGGTCGGAATTACGGCTATGCGTCCCTCACGTGGTGCTTTGAACGTTTGATTTCGCTCACGCGTGGATCTACAAGGACGTGCGATCACACCTATGTGCATGTGCAAAATGTTTTGGTTTTTTTTAAAAAAAACCACTGCACACACCTCCTTCAGTGAATACTGTCTAGACAATCCACAGTGGAAACAGCACACGGTAAGACGATTTCCCCAGGGGATGTCTGGTCATGCGAGGACGGATTAAAAAGATGGGGATCAAATTTGAGCCGGCATAATGGCGGAATTACCTGCCCATCTGAACGGACCCTTAGGAATCTTTCCAATCAATTCTCCTATAGACTTTAATGTCAAACATGGGTGCCTTTCCTTGTCTTAAAAAGGAGGCCCCTTCATTCTATGTGGGAGTCTTCCATTCAAACCAGTGGGAAATAATAATGAAATGGAATTATGAATATGCAACAAAAATAATGAAAGAAACAATAATGAAACAAAATCATACAACTAGATTCGAATCCGGTAGTACTTTAGAGACCAACAATATTTGGAGGGTATAACCTTTCAAGAGTCAAAGCTGGTCTCTAAGGTGCTACTGGAGTCTAATGTAGCTGTTCTACTGCAGACCAACATGGCCTCAGCACTGGGCAATATGAAACAGTTCCTTTTGGAATTATTAACAAAAACCAAAAGAAATGAACCAAAATTCACACAAGTCTGTCTAATAGATATTTAGAATACTGATGATAAATAAACATTTTGATAGTTCATATTTTTTGGGGGGTGTTAAGTGGAAAGGTTGGAGAACACATACTGTAAACAAAGTTGGTCCAGAATCTGTGATGAAGAATCGAAGGAATTTAGGGAATACACTTGTAGCCACTGTGGTAATTCTATTGTTTCACAACAGATATGCTGGTGCACACTGACCAACAACCAAAGGATTGAGCTACCGACACCACATAATAACTCAGGCCTTCAGACAGAAAAGAAGACCCTCCCCCAACCAAGTTTCTGTTTAAAGGGGGAAAATGTCACGAGTCCAAGCAAAGACCTGGGTATAGCCAAAGCATCTATCTAGACTGAGTCCTGTAATGTCAGTGATATAAGGCAGGGGTCCCCAATATGGCATCCATGGGCACCATGGTGCTCGCTAAAACCTTTCTTGGCACACACCAAGTGCATTTAGAAAGCGGGTGGGGCGAGGTGGAGCTTTTGCCCAGCAGGACATCTGATTAACCATTGGATTTTTTATTGGCTGTGCAGATTTTTTTAAATGCTGTTTTGGCAGCAGCTACAGCCACAGCACAAGGATCTTCTGTGTGACTGAAGGTAAGCCGTGGCAGCAGCCATTTTGTGGCTGGCTCCACCTCCTGTAGCAGCCATTTTGTTCCTGGCTCCACCTTCTGCAGCAGCCATTTTGTGACAGGCATTTTGTGGCTGTGCTCACCATGCTGTGTCAGAATTCCAAGGTGCCCACAGGCTGAAAAAGATTTGGGACCCGGATATAAGGAATGGCAGCTTTTCCTTAAGAGGATGAGAAGAACTGACCTTGTGCCAGTAGCATTTCTTACCAGCATCACTTTGACTGAGTCTGTCATTAGAGAAACATATGGCTTCAACACCTCATAATGGAACCCTGGAGTCAGCAGCTTCCGGTGCTGCTGCCACTTCGGCCCATTCAGTATCAGTAAGCCCTTTCCTGCCAGTGGATAAAGAGACATGAGAAACACAAGTCAAGGGGGAAATGAGTTAGACACATTTTACACCACCTTAATGTTACATGTTCTGTTATATAATCTAAAGCAATGAACTGATGATGATACAGAAGAATAATGTACGTATTTGACACATGAAATTAGGGATGCTCACAAACACCCACTGGTTCAGCCCATACCTTGCCCATTGGCCAGAGCTGGGAACAGACCCTTGAATGGGCTTTCCTGCTCCTCATAAGGGCCCAGCACGGTTCATCAGAAATTTCAAAAGAGCATGGTATAGTGTGTTACAATTTATTTTCTTTATAGGGAGAAAAAAGGAGAGCAAGAAGCACTCTCATTCTCTGTCTTCCAGAGGCGAGGAGTCACCCTTTGGAGGAGCCAATGTTTGGCAGTATCAAGAGAGGTGGAAAGGCCAACCACAACATGATGAGGAGATCCAAGCACAGTGCTCTCACCTGCTATACCTGCCTGCTGTGACGTTCACATGATCCCTAGTGAAAATAGGTGTGCTTATTTGACCTAATTGGTTCATGGGATTATTTATCTATTTATTTATTTCTCACATTTCACACCCAGCCAAGGCTGGTTCAGAGCAGCTTACATAAAATCAGCATATATTTACAATAAAACAATTAAAACATTTAAAACAATGCTAAAACCAAATAACAGTAACACAGTAGGTGCTAGTATTGTTGTTGCTAGATCAATGATGGCTACCATATTAGCTCTTTCTTCTCATAACTGGCTCCTAGGTCTACTTCAGGCATCTTTCAGGCAGCTGGCACAGGCTGATGTTATAGATTCCAGAGACAACAGGGCTTCCTATCCTTCAGCTACTAGTTGTTAATGATTTTTAATGGTGGCATCGGGTCCAAAAGCCTGGCGGAAGAGCTCTGTTTTACAGGCCCTGTGGAACTGCAAAAGGTTCCGCAGAGCCCTGATCTCTTCTGGGAGCTCATTCCACCAGGATGGAGCCACCACCAAGAAAGCCCTGGCCCTGATTGTTGACAGCCTGGCCTCCTTAAGACTTGGGAGGGCCAATCGGTTCTGGGCCCCTGAACGAAGTGCTCTCTGGGGAATATGTGGGGAAAGTCAGTCCCTCAGATATGTAGGCCCCTGACCATAAAGGGCTTTAAAGGTAAGAACCAGCACCTTGAAACGAATTCAGTATGCTATCGGCAGCCAGTGCAGTGCCTTGAGCACAGGCTGGATGTGCTCCCGAATTGGGAGTCCCATCAACAGGCTGGCCACAGCATTTTGCATCAGCTGCAGCTTCCAGATTTGAGACAAGGGCAGCCCCATGTAGAGAGCATTACAGTAGTCCAATCTTGAGATGACCATTGCATGGATCACTGTTGCCAAGTCATTGCATTTGAGGAAGGGATGGTGGTGAGCAAACCAAGTGAGAAGCCACTTCCACCACTTGCTAAATCATTTTTTAAATTTTGTAGGTAGAAGCTATGTCTCTTTATATCTATATATTTGACTGCCATAAATATGTACATTTTTATTGTCACGTCATGTCTCATCTTAAAAATATTACAATTTTCAGAACTTCCCCTTTTTTTGGCCTTTAAAAGTCTATTCCCACGTAACTGTGGCAGAAACGTGCTGTTCAAACAGCTACAGCTGTGTGAAAAATCAGCTGGAAAGAAACAATCTAGCATTTACTAGTAAGCTCCTGTAGACAAGAGGTCTTTTGAATTTTGAAATGATAGTATATACAGAATGCTTGACAATACATACCGATCCATGGAACTAGGAAGTCATATACAACAAGTGATTTAGGATCTGTATAGTTTAATTAAAAAAGAGAGAGAAACAGCCATGAGAACAAAACTCAGTTCTAATTTTCTAAATGTCTGTTGGACCCTCAAAGCTCTGACATATACATCACTGGCAGACATTTACTGTTCACATATAATTTTTTTTTTCTATATGAACACTTATGCTCCATTATTTCAATGGGAGAAATTTAAGCACATTTTAAGGTGAAAGTGCTTAACTTTGCCCTTTTCAAATTCTGCTATACATGGTTTTTCTGGCTCTCATAGAAAACAATTTCAGAGGGTAGCTGATCTGTAGTAGAACAGTTAGATTTGATTCCAGTAGTGCCTTAAACACCAACAAAAGATTTTTTGGGTCTAAGCCTTTGAGAGCCAAGCTCCCTTTGTTGGAGACCTGATGAAGTGTCTGACGAAGGGAGCTTTGACTCTCAAAAGCTTCTACCTTGACAATCTAGCTGGTCTCTAAGGTGCTGCTGGACTCCACTCTTAACTGTCATAGAAAACAGGTTAAACTACATACACACTACATAGAATAACAAGAGCAAAGTATAAAATATAAATGTTTTTATTGAAATGAAATTTTACTAATTTTAACACAAATGCAGACACTTCCCCAGATTGGGTTATTTTACAAATATTCTGGTGAGCAAGGAGAAAATTGGTTAAAAGTTACTTATCTGCAGGCTTGGGTAACTTATTCAGCATCAAAGGGCACATTGGAAACCTACCATGAGCATAAGAGCCACACACAGCTAATGTACATCTTTAGCCATTCACACCTCTTTCACTGCTCTGGCCTTCGGCTTAGCTTTGCAGTAAGTGCATGCACTCATGGCCCAGGATGCCCTGTATGAGAGGGCAATTGGGGCTTGCCCAGTGCTGAGGCTGCTCACGCATGCAGTGATCCCACTGGCAGCATCAAGGTCCTGCCTGGTGGATATCTGTCCTTGAGGCCATGGTTCATTCCTGGGGTGGAGATGGAGGTTCCCCCCTTGGGTATGTGCTCTCTCCTGCCCTTCTCCCATATAGGTGGGTTGCTCAACAGGACCACTGCTGTTGGGCCATTAAGTGCCAGGGCTGAAGAGAGGTCTGGGGCACCTGGCACTTCATGAACCACAGGCCCAGTCTCAGACCCACAGGATGAGGACAATCCTCGACCACTCCAATTGAGTACTGTCTTGCCCCTGGCAACCCACTCCTCTGCCCATCTTGTGGTGGTGAGTCAAAGAGGATGAAGGTCAACAATGGACTGGCCATCTCTGCTATGGTGGCTGCAGAAGTGGCCAGTGATGGAGCTGAGGCTGCTGTGGGCATGGGCTTGGGCCTACATAGTATGGGTGGGGCACAGTGACTAATGCATTACTATCCCTTCCCTCCAGGCCCTTTGCCCTGATGTTCTCTACCACTATTGTGGAGTATGTTCATGCCCTGACCCTTTCAAGATGGGCCTTGGAGGCTGAGTTGGTCATCTTCGTGAGCTTTGGCATCGGGGACTCCATGGGGCCAGCGTCTGTGGATGTGGCATTGCAGAGAGTGGACTCCACATCTCTGAGTGGGGTAGGACTGCCACCCCAGGAGCAACTGGGGACAGGATCTGGTAGGCTGGCATTGCACCGGCACGCCTATATCACTTCTCATTTAAACCAGAAGTGATACAAGGGGATACTCTAGCATTTCACAAAATCTCTATGGCTTTATCATGGAGTTTTTACAGAATGCTAGAGTGTCCAGTTAAAACTGGAAGTGATGTAGTGTAACTCCAACACGCCAAGCCTTTCCTCTCCCCCAATTTCTCCTGCCAGTGCCTGAGGCACTGGTGGATATCAAGAAGAATTGCCAGGAGGCCTCCCTCTATTTCAGGTCACGGAAATGGTATGCAGGGAAAGGCTGAAAACTTCCCTCCATGAGCACTGCAGTAAGGCATTGTGAACATGGGAAGTGAGAAGAACCCATAACTCATGTATGATAGTTACACAGGACACAGGATGAGAACCTTGCACTCAAGAATGGGTAAAGCAATCTTTTAAGGGGTGGCAGGACTGACTAAAATCAAGAAATGGATCATCACCAGTCTGCATATGTAGCTCATCTCTGCTTTCTGAATTTTAACATTCAGCTGAAATTTGAATGAATCAGATTTTAATTTATAGCCTTGATAAAGTCAGATACCATTAAAAGTTTCTTCTTGCTTAGCCACTTTGTCTAAGAGGTTGATGCCACCTTACAATCAGAGAGATATAAAATTCCTTACCACTTCTGCTAAATATTGCTTTCACGTATTCGGGGTGGTTGATGTTTAGGAAGACTAAGAATCCTCCATACCATATTGGATGACAATGCGGATATTTTTTTGTCCATGATTCAACATTTAGGAATTCTTCTTCTGGTGTCATCTGCATAATTTATATAAAGGTAAGTTCAGGTCATTGGGACTGATTCGCTCAGTAATGCCAGAAGTAACAGATAACCAAATAAGTACTCCTGTTTAATCAGGAGTCAATGGGCAGACTGAAGTACTAGTCATAGCCATCCAGGGTCAACACTGAACCAACAGAGTGCTTAAACATGTATGTTACTCCCTTTCTGTTCTGCACCAGCCTCCTCCTTTCAATCCTAAATGAGCCTCTTGAAAGCTGAGGAACTTAAGATGATAAGCATAAAGAATTCTATAGTTTCTATAGTATAGTAAAGAAACTATAGAATTTGTTATGTTTTAAGGCAATAAATGTTAGGCAATAAATGTGTGGAAGTATGATATGAGAACATACCTATGAGAATTACATGCATGCGTTTGAGGTTTTCTGTCATAACCGTGAGGATTAGAAGGAAGGTGCTCTTCGAAAAACTCTGAAAAACTTTTAAAGCGAACATGTTCAAAGATCGTTCACTCCTTAGTTTTTGCATCTCTCAGTGAGTTCAAAACTAGACTGCTGTGACTTATACATACATACCTTTTACCAGTTCCTCTAAGAACTATTTGCACGTAGCCTCCTTTGGTGTCTGTTTGGACCTTCCTCACCATGTGCTGAATATGACCACATATTGCTATACGTTTGCCTAATGGCTTGGCTAACCAACTATAATGAAAGAATTACCCTAATCTCGTCAGATCTCGAAAGCTAAGCAGGGCTGGCCTTGGCTAGTCTTTGAATGGGAGACCTCCAAGGAATACCAGTGTTGTGACTTGGAGGGAAGCAATGGCAAACCACCTCTTGCTTTGAGAGCCCTACGGGGTTGCCATAAGTCAGCTGTGGCTTGACAGCACTTCCCACCACATACTCTGTATGGGGCTCTATAAATCTGTAGGAATAGAGAATGTGGCATCAAACAAAAAATGGGAGGATTCTTTGTGATTTAAGAGCCTAGTATATATTTGAGCTGTGGTGGCTCAAGTGGTTAAGACGCTGAACTGCAGGCTGTGGAAGGTCAGTAGCTCAGCAGTTCGAGACCCGAGTGTGCCGCAAGACAGAGTGAGCTCCCGTCTCTAGTTCCAGCTCCTGCCAACCTAGCAGTTCGAAAGCAAGAAATTGCAAGTAGATAAATAGGTACCACTTTGGTGGGAAGGTAACAGCGTTCCGTGCGCCTTGGTGTTTAGTTATGCCGGCCACATGACCACGGAAATGTCTTCGGACAGTGCTGGCTCTTCGGCTTTGAAACGGAGATGAGCACCGCAACCCTAGAGTCGGATTCGACTGGCTTTCGAGCAAGGGAACCTTTGTTGTTGTTGTTCAGTCGCACAGTCGAGTCCGACTCTTCGCGACCCCATGGACCAGCTCCCGCCACTCCCTTCTCATTTGGTGGCCAAAGTATTTGAGCTTCATTTTCATTATCTGGCCTTCCAGGGAACAGTCAGGGTTGATTTCTTTTAGGATTGACTGATTTGATCTTTTTGCAGTCCAAGGGACTCTCAAGAGTCTTCTCCAGCACCATAGTTCAAAAGAATCTATTCTTCTGCGCTCGGCCTTCCTTATAGTCCAACTCTCGCAGCCATACATGACTACTGGGAATACCATTGCTTTGACCATGCGGACTTTTGTTGGCAGGGTGATGTCTCTACTTTTTATCATGCTGTTTAGGTTCACCATCACTTTCCTCCCAAGGAGCAGGCGTCTTTTAATTTCATGGCTGCAGTCACAGTCTGCGGTGATCTGGGATCCCAGGAACGTGAAGGTCTGTCACTACTTCCACGACTTCCCCTTCTTTTTGCCAAGGAGTGATGGGGCCGGATGCCATGATCTTAGTTTTTTTGATGTTGAGCTTCAAGCCCACTTTTGCGCTCTCCTCTTTTACCCTCAGAAGGAGACTCTTTAGGTCCTCTTCACTTTCTGCCATCAGAGTGGTATCGTCTGCATATCTGAGGTTGTTGATCTTTTCCCCAGCAATCTTAATTCCCACTTGTGATTCATCTAGGCCAGCGTTTCGCATGATGTACTCTGCATATATATTAAATAAGCAAGGCGACAATATACATCCCTGTCGTACTCCCTTTCCTATGCTAAACCAATACGTTGTTCCATATCCGGTTCTAACTGTCGCTTCTTGGCCCTTATACAGGTTTTTCAAGAGACATGTGAGGTGGTCTGGTACTCCCATCTCTTTAAGGACCTGCCATGGTTTGTTGTGATCCACACAGTCAAAAGCTTTAAAGGGAACCTTTACCTTTTTACATATTTCATGCAAATGTACAGAATGAAGGCACAACTTCATAGTGTTAACTGAGCCAGCCGATAGGTGTTGTAAGAGAATACTAAAAGGTTTGGATCAAAGAATTGAACCCTTTATATACAGAAATCATATAGCTCTTTCTGTCCTTTAAGTTAGCAAGCAGCTTTCAGCACACAGGGCAAGACTCCCAAAATGCAATGCCAGTCTGTTTGTTTCAAAAGGCACCTTTCTTCTGTCACATCTACAGAAAAGGGCCCACATTCTTTCCCCATAGTTAAAAGCTCTACAGTAATTTCACACACCCACTTGGTTTTCAGCAGATAGTGTCATGTCTGTCTTGTCCCACGTATTCCGAACACAAAAGAATATCCTGACTTCATGGTTGTCATGTAGAATTGGAAGTGCTATCTTGTGTTATTTTTGTAAATAAAATATAAATCATGGAATGTAAGGACATCTCCTGCGTGAGATGGTCCCACGATTTTAAAAAGCACTGGGTCATTAACATTTGTAACAGCCCGTGCAAAGAAATCTTTGATCAATTCTGTAAAAATTTGAGTCTTTGGGGGCAGTTCAGCACTGACTTTTGGGATTTAGTGAGACTCTCTCTCCTGAAGGCCACTGGTCAGTTCAGGAGCTCCTGTTTGCATGCTTTGTAGGAGAAATAAGACTTGTATTGTTTAAAATTCAGGCAAAATGCCTAGCTGGGGTCTTGCCTGGAGAACGCTACTTGATAGGTTTAATAAAGTTAAGTTTCGTTTTACAACCTTGTAATGGTCTTTAATTAGCCCTGAAAGGTTTCTGTCATTCACTCTGCCTTTGGTACGGGGCATCACCTAGGCAGAATGGGCCAAAAGTGGGTGTCAAGTACTGACTCAATTCCGTTGTAAGTAAATGATTCAGCTTTATTGAACAGAAACAGTCAAGAACACACAACAACAAACAGTGGAGCGTAGCTCCCTTTTAAACTACCCCAGGCTGATGTAGCCATGCCCTAGAATAGTTAAGGACCAATAGCATTGTTACAATAATGTCCAATCAGGTTTGTTCCCACTTAAGCATTAGCCAATAGGATTGTTTCAGCTTAGAATCCCGGCTAAGGTCTCAAGCTTAACATTACATTTCATACAGTGAAAACGTAACAGTGGGCCAGTCACACACATCCATGTACCTGTGTAGGACCATTTCCACGACAATAGGCACAAGTTGTTTCTCACAAATGTAGTCTACTTGCAGGAGAAATGCAATATTGGGGGACATGCTCATGAAAAACTGCAGTGGTGAATATAGTAGCAAGTATTATTTTCATTTTTACCTATCAAACATAGTTATTTAATCTTTTCTTCTTGCCTGTGCATTTCTTGTATACATCACTAAGAGCCTAGACAAAGATCAAATTTAATTTCAACCCTTTTGAAGTATTTATTTATTTAGATTTTTTTAGTCACTGCTCTCATTTAGATTTTTTAGATTATTTAGATTTTTGTCTCCACTTACTCATAGGGTCTCGTGGCAACTTACAACACTCAAACATCATAACAAATAAAAACTAACAAAAATCAGATAATACATATAAAATATTAAGATATATGACTCAAGCACCATACCACTATCAAAATAGCCCAAAACATCTTTAACCTTCGAAGGTCAACCTGAACAACCTGACTTGCAAGCCTGAGGAAACTAAGCAAGTCCCGCAGGGCACAGATGTCATCAGTCAGTGCATTCCACAGGGTAGAAGCCATAACTACAAAAAGCCCTTCCCCTGATAACACCTAACTGAAACACCCCAAGAGGATAACTGAAGGGGGGTTTGTAATGGAAGAGGCAGTCCAGTAAGTATGAGAGTCCCAGAATATTAAGGGCTTTAAAAGTTAACACCGACACCTTGAATTGGATCTAGAAAGTAATTGGTAGCCAGTGCAGCTGCCACAAAATTGGGGTAATATGAGCTGACCATGATGTTCTAGTCAGAAGCCTGGCAGCCACATTCTGAACCACCTGCAATTTCTGAATCACTTGAAATTTCCAAAGCGTTTTTTCAAGGGTAGCCCTACATAAAGTGACTTGCAGTAGTAAAGTCTGGAGATTACAGTTGCATGGATCAATGTGGCAAGGTCTGACCCAGACAAATAAGGAGTCAGCTGGCTTGGTGAAAAGCCAAGCATGCTACCATGGACGCTCATTTTTCCAACAATAGCACAGAGTTCAGCCACAACCAAGGCTTTTTACAGAGTCTACAGCTGTCAACTAGACACTGTCCTGTCTTTCCCAGCCACATGACCTCCATCGTGGACAGATTCAACTTTAGCCAGCTTCGCCTTAAGCACTTGACAACTGCATCTAGACACTGGGATAGTGCCAAGAACCCTACTGCCACTGCAGGATGAAGAGCTGCATGTCATAAGCATATTGATGGCACCCAACTCCCAACCTCCTGAAGATCTCGACAGCAACCCACTGAGAGCATCCCTGGAGGAACAAGGAGAACCATCCAAGGGTGGTGCCCCTCACTTCCAGGGGTGCAAGGCAGTCAATCAGGACCAAATGATCAACTGTATGGAAGACAGCTGGAAAGGATTAACAGTGCCAGCATGCCTTTATCTAGATGTAAATGAAAATCTAGATGTGCATGAAGATCATCAACCAAGAAAACCAGAGCTATCTCAGCTCCATAGCCAGGCCTGAAGCTTGATAGAAAAGGGTCAACGGCAGATGTCTCACTAAGGAACACCTGAAGTTGCTCAGCTACTGTTCACTCAATTAGCTTCCCCAGGAAAAGTAAATTAGACACAGGGCAATAATTAGCTGGCTCCTTTTTATCTAAGGAGAGTTTCTTTAACAAAGGTCTAACAATAGCTTCCTTAAGGAAAACAGCCCTGTGAAAGAGACAGATTAATAATTTGTCTCAGAGAGCTTCTTACAACTTCATGGCATGATTTTACAAGCCATGAGGGGTAAGGATCCAAGGAGCAGGTAGTCATCATCATAGCTATCCTATTGACGTTCCCAAAGTAAATTGTATTCTAGACTCCAGTTTTTAAGGAAGGAAAATATATTTCCAAAGCCATGACTTTAAAAGCTTCAGCGTTCTTTCACTCATTAAATCCAAAAAATAATGGTGATATAATTATCTCTTAAAATTCTTCCATAGAACTAGCATTCCAATCTGTCAGTCCACTAAAGGTTTATTTGCCTTCCAGTTTTTCTGGTAGAAGCAAACACACCTTCAGAAGCTGTTCAGCAACAAACTGACATTCTGCTTTTGGAATGTACAATGGGGTGGAATAATCATGGGGTTCTTAGGATGTTTAGAGTTGTAAGATGATATTCTGTTTTTGCCAGTTAGAATTTTTTTTACCACAGATTGGATTAGGTTTCTTCAGACATGCCTGTTCTTATCCTTCAAAGTATTCTCAGAAGAATGTTTGCTTCCACTATCAAGAATAATAATGTCTTTATCTGAACACTGAGTTTAATGTTTGTCATTCAGCCTTCTGGCTTACCCTGATTGAAAGCTATTAGTAAAGTGGTGATCGTGCACTTTGTTATCTAAGTACTTTGTCCACTCCAGATACCCTTAAAAATAGTATATAGTACTAAGAGGCTCTACTGATCTGACAAGTATGGTATGCATACAGAAACTATGCAGTGCCTTCTCTGCCATTCGTACTGTGATCTCCCAATTCAGCCAGAAGTGCCTTCTGCATTTTACTACCCGTCTGCCATGTTCTAGCAGAAAGGGCCATAATAAGGTCTTCATGCAGATTTCTGTGGATTCCCTGTACCCCCGGAGACACACGGAGTACTCTGTGCATATCTCTTAGAAGTGCTTTGTGGTAGTGTTTAAGGTGAAAACAGTTGATGAATTATTTGCAAAGCTGGTTGAACTATGATTTGGCAAACCAAGACAACTCTAGGAGACCCAGGTTTGCATTCCCACTTGTGCCATGGAAGCTCACTGGGTGACTCTGGGCCAGTCACACACACTCACCCTAACCTACCTCATGGGGTTGTTGTGAGGATAAAATGGAGGGAAATTATGAAAGCCACTTTGTTTCCCCATTGGGGAGAAAGGCAGGACATTAAACAAACAAAAACAAGTCATGATCTCTTACTCTTTTCTTTGGCTTTGGTTCTCATCTGAGTTCTGCATAAGGTCTGTCACTTGCACTGAGGGACCCTCTGGCATTGCATTGCAGGAACATTCCCCTTCTGCTGCCTTATTCACATAGATTACATTTTTCTGCCTCATTTCCGTTTGCACCTCACTGCCCTGTACTAGTCTGCCTGTGTTTCCCATACATAAACACTTCCCCTTCTTAATACCTGGGACTTGGATTTCTAAAAATAAAAATTGATTCAGCTTATTGAACAGCTTTCTTTCCTTCATTATTCTAAAAGGCAGCATTTCCTGACCTTTGTCTTTTGGGGGATCATTTTAATTAAAAAATAGACTGTAGGGACATTAGAAGCTAACATAACAAAGGACAAAAGACCACTTTTCAGGCTTAAATCTCCAAGTACCTCTCACTGGTAGTTTTCAACCAAAGCAGCCCTGGCCTTTGGGCTTTTTGATACCTCTCAAAGATTTTAGTATTAGTAAAGTCAAAAATATGTTTTGTTTCACTTCAAGAGCAAAAAGAAGCATCTTCAACATCCATCTGCCTATCTCAGTGTCAAACTCTTCAAAAACACACACACACACACAAAGATCAAAGGTCTTGTAGTCACCTTACCATTTTGATGTGTCCATAAAGCCAATGGCTGGGAGGTCCTGGGAAACATCTGAGCACTTTGATCAGGTACTGCTTGTGTTGATAAAGTTTCATGAATTTCAGGACTACATAAGTGAGGCTCAAAATAACTGTCAGCTGACAAATCTGATAGAAATCCTGAGGCAACCAAGACCAAAAAGAGCTTGTAATAGCTTCTAGCAGAGTTTTTGTAATTTCTCCCATGTCAGCATTAGATTCCAATTCCTATTGTTCAAACTGTCAGGCGTAACACTTTCAGCACAGAAATAGGACTTGGTGTTCTTCTAAGTGCACCAAAAGAATTACTCTTCAGAAGCAATGCATAATCTTGGTCAAAAAGTACTCAGCAAAGACACAGAGTAAAAAGAACTATAATCTTTCACAAGACTGTTAGTGCCAAAAAGAACTGAACAATTGTCCAGCCAATAAATATCTTGCAACAATACCTTCCTCTGATTGGTTGAAGTCACTGTGCCAATCATGCCCTTTTGCAATACTTGATAAAAGAATACTCATGTTTCAACTATATGTTAATATTTCACAGCGTGACTGACAATATTATTTCTCTAAGCTTGCAGAGCAGATTGCCAAATTAGATGAAATGCAGATGCCTGAGTCATTTCTCAACTGTTTAAAACACAGCTGTGCTTACTTAACCATAAAGATCCATGAGAATTTCTTCCAGTCAAAACTACACTATCAGAGACCCCAGCCAGGCCACCCCCCCCCCCCGGTTATTGCTCTTGGCTCCCTGCTTGGAACCCCTAAACACCTTCTCAGACCTGTAGGTCCTCAAGCCTGAATGTACACAAGAAAAACAGGCCTCATAAAAATGTATAAAAGTTTATTAAATTATTAAAAGAATTGACAACACAATACAGTCTCTTTAGCAGAGCAACAAGAAAACAAAGAAGCTAACTTTTCTATCTAATACATTGCATATCTTGGTATTAGATGGCACTAAATAAATAAACTCTCTTGCTGTATAGAATCCAAGCAGTAGCATAAAAAGCATTCTGTACATTGCAGTCCATCATGATGAAGCTTAGCATACTAGTATAGCCTTAGCAAAGCTCTCTCTGGCCTATACCCTTATTATAGCTTTCTACCCTATGACATCGGGTTGTCTCTTGGGTCCAATTAAGGATCTTCTTCTCAGGAACTTTTCAGAAGATGTTGGCAACTTCTCCTAATTACCCCCTCCCACATCTAGTTATACAACTGAGCACAGGTTCTCACAATTTGCCCAAATACTACATTCTTGTGTTTGGCTTTAAAAGAGATAACATGGTGGTTACAGCAACACTGAAATCATGAACACCTGTGAGTAGAACTAGGCTTATAACACTCACATTAAATCTTGAGGGGAAATTAGAGTGCTTAGCCTCACATACACCTAGCTGCTTAAGAGTTTACATCAACTTTGACCAGTACATCCCTGGAGACACTTCTTTAAGAGACATACTTATGCTCTGATTGTCTCTGGAACAGATTACTGAAATGAAACTCTGTTTCATGACAGTTTAGAAATTTCAGTTGGTGCATCATTTACAGGTTTTAGTACAGTGTTACAATTGTGATTGCTGACAGATTTTTAATTAAAATATCCTTTATGCTAAATATGTTTCCTTGATGATATTTGAATTCTTTAAGATGTGCCATTTTTAGTCTTATTTTATTCATTCTGATGGGATTTTGATTGTATTTAAAACTAGTTCTATGATTTTTATGTTGATTCAGTTTTGTAATCCACCTCAGAAACTTCTAGTTGTGAGTGAGAGACATTGAATTTTTCAAACATGTAAATAAATAGTGTGATCCAGGAAGTAAATATAAGACTATCACAACGGCTGGGTTTTGTTTAGGTTGACTGGTTGCTGTAGGCAGACTCTTGGAAATGCCAGTTTGTTTCCAAACAAGATGATGCTGAAGTTTAATACAACTGGCTGTTTGTCTGGGTTTGAAAAGACCTTTTATGAAACATGTAGGGTAACACTCCGTTAAAAGCCTAGGCAAACACTGTTTGGTCCTAGCAGCTGAAGGTCAACAGATTAGGCACGAGAATAGAGAGAAGATGTTCCAAATACAGGGCACCCCCACTGAGAAAGGCCATACAGAGACCAGGACTTTGAGACAAAGATCTGAACTGGTAAGCAGGGCAGTATAGGAAATGGTACCTCAGATACCCAGACTCCTAGCCATTTAGGGCTTTTAATATAAGTACCTACAGTTTGAATGGTATCCAGAAACAGGCGGCCAATGCAGATCTTTCAGCACAGGATGATACGATCCCTATATCCAACCCTCAACAGCAACTTGGAAGAGCTGACCCCCCCCCTGCCCCCCCCCCCCCCCAGCTGAGGGGAGAGGGAAGGTGCATAAGAGGAAACAGATGGTTTGGTTTGAAATAGAGAGAGGGTAACAGGCAGAGCAGGTCTAAACTTGTGATGGTGAAGTGCCATTGGGTACAGGACCTCTCTCTATCTGGGACATCAGTGCATCTGCTGTGCTGTAGGAGTCCCTCATTGCCTCCATGTGTGCTTACATATTTGTAAATAAAGCCAATGCTGTAACCAATGCTGTAACCACCCAGCGGTTTCGAAAGCAACTTAATTGCAAGTAGATAAATGGGTACCCACCCTTAGATGGGTGGGGGGCACCCTGTATGGTAGCTGAAGAACGGTGGTGGTGGCGGCGGCAGCGGCGGCGGCGATGATGGCGGTGGCGACTCGAGACGGCGAATGGTGTGGCGTAGCGGTGGCAGACGGGCGCAATCGTGGAAGCGCATCGAGCGATCCCTGGTGGCCAGGAAGAATACATCGAGGCTGCCGCTGAGGAAGAAGGAGCGTGCGCAGACGCCCAGCACCAGCCCTGCGGAGCCGGAAGGACGTGGCCGGGCCAGAAGCAGGCGGAGTCGCGCGCCTCAGAAGGAAAGAGAACCAGCCACCACCAAACGCTGGGAAAGAACGCCCGCCAGCCAGAGACCCGACCTGAGCCGAGCAACAACGACCACCATAGGGGGGTGCTGGTAGGTTGTCCCCAACCCCTACACATTGTGGCCTTAGTTAGGGAAAAATGGTGACTAGCACCACTAAATTCTGTAAGCCGCTCAGAGACCCCTACCAAGGGGTTCGAGCGGGATATCAAATCGACTGTTAAATTAAAATTAAATTAAAATTAAATTAAAAGTCAAATAACACCTTGCATTTGTTATACACAGAACTGGCTGCTGTAGCCTGTGTATGACAAATGTTTCTCTCCTGGTTAGAATCACTTGATGAAGTTCTAGCATATGCTTCAGACTCAGAGACCAAAATACAAATTCTTATGCCCCATGAAGCCAGCGCTTACCAGCTGACTCTTCAGTCTGGTCAGTTTCCTGTAGCCTGTCCTGAATTGCATTTCTTGCTTCTGTCCCTTGTAGCTTGGACTGCTCATTTGTACTGATCTTAACACTGCTTTGTGCCCTTGCTGTTGGCATGCCTTGGTTTGATCTTGATGCTTGCTCACACTGTAGCTCCTGAGGTGTATTCCAAGTATGGACAGCAGGATACCTGAAGGACTACCTGTTCCCATGTAAGTCTGCTCAGCAGTTAAGACTGGCATCAGAGGCCCCACTCTGCATCCTCAGAGGTGAGGTGGGTAGGCAACCAGTAAGATGGCTTTCTCTGTGATGGTGCTTTGGTTGTAGAAAGCTCCTCCCACAGCAATTCACATGGCATTAAAGTTATTACATTTTAGATGCCAGGTGAAAACTCTTTATCTGCTTAGGCATTTGGTTGAGTCATTCATTTTTATAATCCTGTGCCCTTGTTTAATTTTACTGTTGAATTGATTTTCCCCCTGCTGCTTTAAACCTTTCTTTTACTACTATTGTGTGGTGGGTGTGATAGGTTTTTTTTTTTAAAAAAAGAAGGTTATAGTTTTTTTAATGGAAACATACCCAATAAATCATGTGAAGAAATTCTGCTGGTGGATTTTCTGCATGGTTCCAAAATTCATGTAATACCTTTCATTAGGACCAACCAACCAAAATAGTACAACACATTGTGAAACTTCCAAGTTCTCCAGAACATTTTTTCATCAAGCTAGATGTTAAAATGTTTTGAAGAGAGAGTGTGGGAGAAAAAAACATCTTTCAAGCCATGTTGTTGATGCCTCTCTGTCAATGGGCATAGAAATTGGTTAGGTTTCTACTAACCAATGCAGCTTCACAAACCGGACAGTGCCAGGCAAACTTATTTCTCACAAAATTAGAACTAAAGCTAGGTTGTTACACAGACCAAAATACTTGTGAGTAGGTGCATAGAAACAAGTGGTCATGGAGAACTCCAACAGAAATAAAAAATCTAGAGCAGTACTCACTGGAATATCTATTCCACAATCCTAAATACACTTTCCTGAGAGTAAGTCCCTGTGAATAAAATGGAACTTACTTCTGAATAGACATATTTAGGATTGCCTCCATAGTTTTGTAAGAGTAGCACGATATTGGTAGGCTGTTCTACATTTCTGTCTGTCTTGGCATCATTTTATAGAGGTTGCAGTAACAAATATTAAATTTGCTACTCTGCTGCTTTTGCAACTCCATTTGATTTCAAAGAAGAGTTTGTAAGGATTACAGGTATAGGATCAAACACGATTGCCTAGTCAAGGGAAGCTGCCCTGTGTGTTAAGAGACCAGGCCCAGGCATGAAACATTGGCTATTATCCCATAGAAACCAGGCCTTTCAACTCTTAGAAGGCACAAAGTTGATAAGGAGTGGGACCCACCCTAGGGTGAATCACGTCCCAGGGCCTACCCACCATGTACTTGCTGCAAACCTGAATATGAAGGGATATGGGAGGAATGGGAGCAGGAAAGACTAAGCCAGAAGCAGGGAAAGACTTTATAAACCCTGCCTGCCATCTCCACATATTTCCTTTGGGATTAAGCCAACTGGGATGGCTGTCGATGAGATTGGAGAGGACTCTATTATCTCACCTGCAGTAATCTAAGCAGTTCCAATCCTGAAGGAACCAGAAAGAAATAATTTAAGAATTCCTATTCCCTCCAGCATAAGTAAAAATCACTGTCTGGCAACAGATCTGAAGGGAAAAATATGATTATGCTGAAGGAAAAGTGGCCTGTGGGCAATTCTGGTAGGAAGTAGCTGCTCATAATGTTCCACCCTTGTATGTAGCTGCCTCACACTGGGCCTGATTCAGTATTGTCTACTGACTTGCAAGAGCTCTCAGAATACCTTCCCAACACCAAAATCCTTCTACTGAAGGAGAAAGGAAGGATGGATTAA